AAATATCATTAGGTATATCCTATAAATAGTATTCATTCATGAATTCATGAATAAATAAAACTGAGATTATTAGAGCATTAATGTCAATTATAAATTGATTTTCTTGTTGTCAGTCAATTTAATTTATTATTTTGTACAAATGAAATTTATTGGTTTTTTTTTCGAAAAGTTCTGAAACATTGAAAGAGGAGAATTATTACTTAGTTATTTACGCCTGTTACTCCTCGTAAAGGAGTATAGGCCACTCACCAGCATTCTCCATCCAACCCTGTTCTGGGCAATCCCTTCTAGCTCCTTGCAGTTGTTATTCGTCCTTTTCATATCTGCTTCTATTTCCCAACGTAATGTGCTCTTTGGCCTTCCTCTTTTCCGCTTCACTTCAGGAATCCCAGTTACGGCTTGTATCGTGATGCAGTTTTATGATTTGCGTAATATATGTTCTATCCATTTCCATCATCTTTTCCTAATTTCTTCTTCAGCTGGGAGATGGTTTGTTCTCTCCCACAGAAGGCTGTTGATGATGGTATCCGGTCAATGGATGTTGAGTATCTTACGTACATAACCATTTATAAATACTTGTGCCTTCTTGATGTTGGTTTTTGTAGTTCTCCAAGTTTCAGCTCCATACAGTAGAACTGCCTTGACGTTCTTGTTGAAGATTGTGACTTTGATATAGGTTGACAGACAGTTGTTTTCAGTTGCATATGTTCTTCAACTGTAGGAATGCAGCCCTTGCTTTTCCAATCCTCGACTTTACGTCTGCATCTTAACCTCCTTGTTCATCGATGATGCTTCCCACGTATGTAAAGGATTCTACATCTTTTAGAGTTTCGCCATCAAGAGTGATTTGACTGCTGCTCTCCGTTTTAAATTTGAGGACCTTGGTTTTCCCCTTGTGTTTAATTGACTTTTAGGATTAGATTGAATTTAAAGAGAAATAATGTATTTGTAAAAAGGAAATATATTTCCTTGAAAAAGCTTGGATCAGACTGCCAGGTGAAATGTTGGATTTACTTCAAATTCTTTCATTGAGATTTTACAAATACATTCTTTCTTTTTAATGTCTCACATCAACTCAGCGCTTAAATACTGTGAGACTATTCGATCAAATTTAGATAAAAGTTCTTATTTATTAGATTGAATTTAGTTTAGTAAATTAAACCAATTTTGGATAGTAATTAATATGTTTTAATGTAATGTAGTTGACTTAAGTTTATTCATAACAAGTGTTAAGTCCTGAGCATAGTCGGTTCTTCTTCTTCTTAGGCGCCAATTTTACCAACTACTTCACTGAATGATACATGTTCAGGACTCGATAATTGTAGGGGATATCAATGAGTTTAAATGACTTTATATCTGTTGATCTTATCTATCCAAAATCCCTTGGAATATCATTGGCAAAGATTTATTTATTTTGACAATCATGGTGAACGATTTGATCTAGAGATTATAGTCAGTATTGATTACTAGAAAGCCTGATTCGTGGTGTTTTGTATTTAAGCCTATCTACTATCCTCTGTGTAACGTAGGCGAACAATCATTAATTGAAGTACAAGGTGAAAAAACTAACATGACTTAAATCGTATCATCCACTTGCTTTTTTACACGTTACTTAGTTCAAGTAGGCTTTTAGTGTCGACTATCATTTGTTATTCCTCATCTCATACAATGAACTACAGAATCAAGTTATTAACTTTATTAGTCACATGTCAAAGTTGATTGATAGAATTTAGTTAGAATTTATAAATGGACAATAAAACTCATGCAACAATGCAACTGGGGTTTCTGATGTATCGTTTAAGTTTCATACTGATCATAGGTTTTTATAATTGTTATAGAACGTCTATTCAACATTTCTTGATTTTTATTAGTCTGATTATAAGTTTGCTTTTCGTTAGTGCTGAAAAGTGTATTTAAAAATAATAATGTAATAGACAAGACCTAGAAATGTTATTAATGAAAATTGAATTGCTGTTTAGATTTATGGTGTTGGCTTAAATGAGAACATTGACGGATGGGAAATTTCATTCAAGTGAAATACAAATGTACATTGAGTAAAATCTATTTAACTGTATTTAATATTATCAGAATTTTTTTTCTAATTCCAAGCTAAACTGATCTCACTAAGCACTTGTTATATCCCGACGAGAATTATGCATGGTAACTTTTAAGAACTATTTATGGACCAATACGATACATACATTTTTATTATATAATTCTCAAATGACTATACTATGCATATTCATGTTCCTCTTATTATAAGCTTTATTTTGACTCATAGACTATTATTATACGATTTACAGTTATTGAGTTGTGCCCAGTCTATTAATTACAGTCTCTCACATTCATAGTCACTCTTGGCTTAATCTTGTACAAAGGTTGTTTTCTATTTTGTAGTACGATGTGGTCTGCTTGGTTTGCATATAAACCCAATATGTTTTGAAATACATGATTCATATCGCAGAGGCTGGGATTGGTATTCTGGACTCAACAGAGAGGGCTAGACAGGAAGAAGGATCTATAAGGACTGCGCGTAAGGGTTTATGCATCATTGGTCCGATAGATAAATCACTATTCTTTAATTGGCGGTATCATTATGTTATATATTTATAGGGCACAAGGCCACAAGTTATAACAGTGCTATCAATATATCTAAGATTTTTCAGTGAAGGATTCTACTGGGTCTTGCAAATGTTCAAATACTTTTCCAATGCTTGTTTTTTGTAAAATATTTATGGGCAGCAAATCGATTACATTCCAGAATATCTTCCCAATAGTATCTGCAGATATCGTATGAAAGCTAATATCAAAGTCTTTTATTCTTTCAAAGAACTATAATAATGATCTACAGACTAAAATTTTCAAATCTATAAACTGTCGTTGAAGAATAACTAAATAAAGACTGGTAACGACTATTAGTTAAAGGAAAAAGTGAAATCCACCACTTAAAACGACATTATAATTATTTGTTAATTATTGATCATTACGCAAGCTATCAGAATAGTGTATAACAGACAGTTTTTAGAGGCTTTTATTATTGTTTTCATAGCTTGTTAATATTCATCAGTGACAGGTAAGCGGAATTTGAAAAAATTATACCGTTACTTAAAACATTAGAAACACATACATTTTAACCATATTCAAAGTATCTTCATTAGTCTAATAACTAGATAATTTATCTAACATATTTGATTACTTATTATATATCAATATGATATATATATATTCAGCATATTCAATCTTGTTTAGTGTACTTAAAGTTGTTTCCCCCGGTACAGGTAAGTGATTTTATGTTCTAAAACAGATGTCACTATAGTTTAAGGTATGTTTCTTAAACATTGTTGTAGCACTCAAAATTGCAAGAAATTTATCTAATGTATTAAGATTTGGGTGTTCACTTTTTGACTTATTAATATTTAGTTTTATTATTCTGACTACAGACAGTAGTAAAGATGATTATTTGAACTATTTGTTTGTGAATATGATATTTCAGTGGGATGATGAACCGATTAATAGTAGACCATCATTGAAAACTTGGAACACTGGACCAAGATTTTCTAGGGCTTCATTCTTTTCGGTTACGTGAAAGTCCTTGATATATTCGAAACATTCATGATTTTTTAAAGCTTTAGACAGAAGTAAAATGGTTTCTTCTAAGCTTATTAAAATCAGCATGGTCAGAAATCTTAAAGAATTTTTATTTTGTAAGGAGATTGTGGGCACGTTCTTCCTATCGTTTTATATGTGAGTGTGAATTCGTCTTTTCGTCGCATAAAATTTGAAGCTTGATTCGTCAGCTTTAATTTGGTTTTATAGGAAATAAAGTACTTTGAGCTCAGTATCAATAATAGTTCGAAAATAACTTTTCAAAGACCACTATCATGTTTTGTGAGAGTATGAAGTGTATTTGTAGATTTTAGGATGATAATTGTGTTTGACTTACATCCTCTAAGAACGGTGATTTAATCGTCAAGCTTTCATTGACCTTTTAGAGGGTATCATTCATAACGACTTTAGTGTAGCAACTGTGGTCAATTCTTTTTGAACAGGTGTTCAAGTTGTATTTGTTTTATCTAAATGACACAAAATTCTGTAATCTCCCTGGTTTTTAAAATTACTTTTTCGTTACAAGCGTCTAGTCTATTGGGTTTAAACAGACTGACTCACAATTAATAAACTTTAGTGTTTATGTGCAATTCTTTTAGTCGAATAACTGTATTGTATGTTTTTAGTAATACTTTATTTGGAATTCTGTACTTACATTTAGGCCACCTGAATCATGGTTTAGTGATATTACTTTGTTAGTGATATGATATTATTACTGCTATTGGCTGTATGATGATGAGACGATACGTTGACTATGGATTTAAAAGAAATAACTACTTTAAGGGTAGATCTCATTGTTAAATTCAAAGGGCGATCACAAACAAATGATTGTTTCTTGTTTACGACTCTTTAGTGAGGGTAGTATTTATTGAATTAACAGGTTCAGATTTGATAGTGGTACCTTTTACAGATGCTGTCATTTTATGATATGACGAATGGTTAACACTATCCTATCTCAGGGTCTAGAATTTGAAAAGCATCGTTCCTCTTAGTCTACTAATATAGTTGCGAGTTAATCATTATTCCTTTTAATGGCTTGACAGAGATTAGGTAAACTGGAAAACAGCTCTCATAAAAGAAATAAATCAGTTTGGAGACTAGTCCTGTGTTATCCTTTGGTTTCAGTTGTACGCTCTTATCAAGTCTCAGAATCCAAATGATCTAAATGTAATAGGTAATTCCTGATTCACCGTAGATGTAAATTCTTTGTAGTATCGATTTTAAGGTGATGGTTTGGCCAACTTAAGGTATTCTCTTTATTTTTAAACAAAATAAAGTTCAGATCTTTTTTGCATCTTACAGATAATGTGAATTGTAATTATTCAAGCGTCATTCAACCCGTCATTTATGGAGGTCATCAGTTAATAGTGAATCAGAATGGAAAAGTGGATTTTATGAAACCAGAAATTATTAGTATCAGTAGCCAATCACAAACCACTCCACCTCATAAAACTCCTAAATTAAAACAATCAGTAGAAGATATTTCAGAAGACAAAAGACAAATAGCACAGAATTACTTTTTTCATAGTGTACAAATTCCAGAAAGTTTAATACAATTTCTTCTTGATCGATTTGTTTCAATAAGTTATACACTTCATGGATTTATAACAGTAAAACCAAGGCATTTATGCGGTGGTCTACTTATTAGTAATGAATGGGTATTAACTGCAGCTCATTGTATTAGTCCATTTGAAAGGTATTCCAGTTTTTTTTACTTATATTTTTCTCACTATATAATAGTAGTATTAAAAGTCTTCAAATATCAAAACTACGTCAATACATGGATAAATCATCAATTCATTTTAAACCTAATGATAAAGCAAAATCGATTGATGCACTAATTCTTCATCCAAATTTTACACAAGGTCAAAGTTTATCACCAGATATTGGTTTAATTAAATTAAAACACTCTATTCTTGATTCACTTACTAATGAAATGTATAATTATGAAGAATTGAAACATTTTTTATTAATAAATGATAAACTACTAATAAGTAGTCAAGAATATATATGTATAGTTTCAGGTGTTGGTCATTTAAAATATCGCGATATAAAGAATACAAATTCTAATAATTGTATAAGTTTATAATTAAGATAAATATATAATTGATTCATTTTATTTAGTACAGATTTTCATGTTGCATTTGTACACCTTGAATCCTGTAATGGATTATGGAAGAAATTACAACTAGAAACAGAAATAAAACAAATCAAAAGTTATGAACAACAACAAGAATATGAATGGATAAATATTTGTAAACAAAGTTTCATTGATAATTCTATTGGTCAAAAGTGTCCTTTTAGTTATTTATGCGCTGGTGGAAGATATGTAGATGGTGATACATGTCAAGGAGATAGTGGTGGACCACTTTTGTGCATGGAATCAAAAAAATACTCGAAATTTATAAAGGTGAGAGGTTTATTTTAAACACGTTTTGAAGTGGATTGTTTTAAATAATTTAGCGGCGAAAATGTATTAAGATGTTTTTAATAAATGACCAATTAATTCAATCAAGACTCAGCAGCTAAATGGATAATGCGATGGCGTCTGAAGTGAACGGTACTGGGTTCGAGTACCCGAGTGAACATCAAGTCTGAGATGCAGGTACATCCAACTGACGAGTTTCAAATAGGACGATACGCGAGTCGAATTGGAGTTCACTGCTAGCCACTATCCATCTTTGTTTAAAAAGCTTGTGATTTAAGGCTATATCAAGGATGTACATATGCCAATAAGAGACTGATCAATCGCAGTTCTAAATAGCAACGAGAAGATACAAGTAAACAATACCAAGTGAATTCAAGTTATATGGTTGACATACAGTTCAATAAAGACAAACGCACAAAACGTGTAGAGATCGGTGAACAAAGCTAAAAGCAGGAGGACATAGAAAATTAATATATTAATAATTCATTAAGCCACAGTTGGATTATACTGATGAATGATATATCAGATATTTATGTGTTTCAAGACTTTGTTCAAATTCAGCTTATTTTGTTCAACGTCAGTGATGTGGAAACCAAAATCACTGTTAAACTTTAACATAATACTCATTATAGTTAGGTAATATTTGAGCTTATGTTCACTAAAATATAAGCCAATCACGTTTTTCAGATATTAGCCAAAATATAACCAAAATCGATGGAAAATTTTACTACTATTACTACTTTTATTATTATTATTATTATTAATATTACTACTAACATAATTGGATATCTTGAATTAACAATCTAATTGTCTTAAACATATTTATTGCCAAGAAAGAAGAGCAATCTTTTACGCTAATTCTGTTGATTGACTAACTACCTAGTGTGATACTTTAAAACTTCATGGTTTTGATAAGTTTTATTCCACATTACTTATTGCTACATTTTGAAACATGAAGTGGATAGTCATCTATGTAAATTGTTAAGGTTCTCTCTTAATGTACTGGAACGATAAAGACTTCTGTTAAATCGGATATTTAAGCACTTGAGGTATTAGTATTTCGTGTACAATTTAGAGCTTTTCATGAGACTGTAGAGCAGATCATTTATGCATAGCAAGTTTGAATAGTTAGGATGATGTTATACAAATTATTAGACTTGTCTTTATCAGAGATCGATCTTAGCTTAAAAATCATCCCAAACTAGTGAGCACTGAATTGAAGTTTCATCTTTATTTAGGACTACTCATCGGTGACGGAATAGGACCATACACCAAATTGAACCTAGAAACTCCATGCTTCATGCCGATTGTATTACTTTTGAACTACAGAGTCGAAGACCATTGTTTGACATTTTGAAATTCAGTCAATTCGCTGCGCAACCCATGGGTAATTCGAACTTGTTGCTGAAATCAATATTACTTTTAGCCAGAATAAAGTTCACTAGTAATGCTAGCTTTTATCATAGGGCATTATTATCTGTAAAACTATCTGTTAGAATTAGTAGAAAAAATGATGAAGACAAATCAATTGTTGAGTATCTAACGAAGATGTTAGACTAAAAAAATAACTGTAAGATATGAAATATCAACCAGCATAGCACAATTTTGATTGAGATCATGAATCGAATAATATTAGACCAACATTGAAAACCTGGCAGCATTGGACGGCTGTTTCGTCTCAGCACGGGACTCCCCAGCAGTGCGCGTCAGTGATTCTGCGCGCGGGAATCGAACCCTGGACCTTCGGTTTTGCGTGAGAATGCTTAACATCTAAACCACTGAGCCGGCATTCAACGGTGTTAACGTCTAACTTCAATTGATCCATGATCTTGCGCAACTCATTTTTTGAGGTAGATAACTGTCTTACAGCAGACACGGATTTGGCTCCACTAATCAGGGCTTCTCACTAGAATTGTGAAAATATGGCAATCTCTATGATCCTGCACGTAGATACGCACTCCTGAGGAGTCCCATACTAGAACAAAACGGCTGTTCAGTTCTTCCAGGTTTTTAGTGATGGTCCAATATTGATGGATTCATGATCTTAATCCAAACTCAACAATCTCCACATACCTATAATGATAGTACATTTTACAAATTACTGAATGTTAATGTATTCAGCATACCATAACAACCATGAATTGTTGAATTCATTGGCTTACTAGTAAATACAGTTTGTTCGGCTTAATTTTCAAATATTGAAACCTTTCAATTTTGGTCTCTTAGTTAAATTTACTGAACTGATATCAGGTTGTAAAAATTACTAATATTCCATCAATAACATTTATTTTGTGTTCAGTGATTGTTTGTAAGTAGTTATCAGAATATTCTAGAGACTGTTCACTAAAAGTCAATCATAACTCTTACAATCTCTTTTTAAAAATATAAGTAGTTTTGAGTAAAGATGGAAAGCGGCTAGCAGTGGAATCCAGAACGTGAGTTTTTTCGTCCTATTTGGGACTCGTCAGCTGGATGTACCTTCCATTGTTGGCCACTATCCATCTTTGCTTTAAGAAAGCTTGTGACTTAAGGCTATATCGAGGCAATCCGCACAGGATGCACATATACCAACATGAGACTGACCAATTCCAGTTCTAAATAATAATGGGAAGTTACAATTCAAAAAACACCAAGTAAACATAAACAGTTTTGTTTCATATTCTGGTCCTCTTTTATTTTTAACTTTCTTTTATTACAAACGAAATATCCTTTAACTATATATACATAAATATTTAAAGATAGTTTCTTTTAACCTATTTACCATTCGGTAGAAATAAGGTCATTTCCTAAAATAATCATCAATGCTTTTGTTGTTGTTGAGAAAAGCAAAATTATTATTTTCACTTATCCACAAACTGGATATGAGACAACAATGTCTTTTTTCTATTCATTAATTGTATATTATATCCTTTTTGATTGCTTCCTTCTCTCTCTTTCGCTCTTCTAACTTTTATGGGAATATGAATAGATTATCTTACCATTCAATATAGCATTGAGTGTGTTCAATAAACGTAAGAAAACCAATTATCAGAAAAGCCTAAGACAAACTCCCTTTATTACTATTATTATTAAGTATGAACTAGTTAACGAAGTTTAACAGCGATTACTGTAATTTGTATTATTGAATTCGAAATAATTCAAGCGATAACTATCATTCGAAATATCTCATTCATGCCTTGAATATTATTATTTACCACATCAATATTTATTTGTATATGTTTAGGTATGCTCATACATATAATTTGACTCTAGGAAATTAAGTAGGCAAAAGTAGGAAGAGCATAATGAAAGGTTACATTGCTTAATACATGATTTTAGTATCTTGACTAATTCATTTTTGTGTATATGTCTTTATGTTGAAGTTCTTTTTAATAGGAAGAAGGAATTGTTTTTCAAAGGAAATCTAGGATAAACATACACTACTGATGAGTAACTGATGTCATGTCCATGAAGCTTTAATGAAAGTTGTCTTATGTTTAATTATGGATGTAATACAATTGAAAAAGTACAGTACGGAAAATTATCACAGGTGAAATGAAAATGGCTACTTGTTGACATAATTTATCAAGGAATGCAACAGAAAAATGGATCTTTTAACATTGAAATAACATTAATCACAATAATATAATGAAATTAAGAAATTAAAAATCGGAAAACGCCAAGAATTTTCAACAGTGACGATCTCCGATGCTCAATATCCTTGTAGCTTATAAACTACTGCTGAGTCAAGCTAGTGGTTATGGGAAGAAGTGTAAGGAGCTGGAGTACACATATCTTATCTGATTATTGTCACCAGAAACGTAAAGTAATACCAGTTTGTTTTTAAGTGTTGCATTATTGTGTGAATTGATAGTGTCATTTCCAAAATATTCTTTTTAACCCTTAGAAATGGTTCGTTGTTGGTATCGCGTCATCAGGAATTCAGTGTGGTTTGAATGGGATCCCATCAATCTATACACCATTATATCCCTATTTGGATTGGATTGAATCCATTACAGGCTACGGAAAACTTAAATCTTTCGAGTAAACTTTGTGTTTATGATTCGGACTACTTTAATCTATTTCAGTAGCTCTACAGTTACGAGAATATTATGCAGTTTGTTTGTTTTACACGAATTAAAATTGGATGAGTTATTTGATACTTGTCTTAGTTTTCTTTCATCGACCGTGGTAAAGTGTTATTTGCCCGTCTAGTTAGTCAAACTTATCTTATGTCAGGACAGATGTAATTAAATGACTGCTCTGACTGATAGTGGATCTGACACCTATGAGAAAAACCATGAATCTTGCGCCCATAGGTTAATTTGTAATGTACATTGGTATAATATTTATTGATGAATAAATTCAAAGATTTATAGTTCTTTGTAATCAGGCTGTTCGCATATTATAGATGGCTCAGTTAATCTTTCAGTCTGACTTAATTTGTCATATTTCTTGGTATGAGATGATCAGCCTATGACATGCAAAAGTATCAGGATCAAACATTAAATCACTTTATCCTCTGAATCCACCAAATTTACCTCCAGCACTAGTCGAAAATACTGTTTTAGTGGCATATTGATAGTGCAGTGCCACGGTTTCTTCAAAAATTCTACCTTCAAAAACCACATCTGACTGACAACAGATTGTTAAGCGGACGCATAATTAGGAGAGCTACTCAATTGAGTTGATAAACTACAAACAATTCTTATGCATTTGTAATTAGGTATTTAGGTTTTCAAGCACTCAGGAACATTTTAACTTCCAATGTAGGTTAATCGAAATATATACATACGTTATCTTTGTTGAGAACCACTGATCACCAGATAGACGCTTCTTCTTATTACTCTTAATCTACGACTAACACCTTACTGAACTTAGGACTGTCATTTCTTGTGGCAAGTGCATTACCTTTGGACCGCTGAATCAAAGTCCCTTAGTTCTTAGTTCTAATGCCAATAATTCGTAATTATATCAGCCGAAAAAACCGGTAGTCGTTTTAGTTTCTGAGAAATTAACTAAATAGTAGTCAAATTTAAGTCAGTAGTCTCTATTAATTTCCAAGTTATATGTAATCCACAGTCTGTAGTAGTGGTCTATCTTTATTAATGTGCTACAATGAACTGATTTCTCATAAAGGACAGATATTAACAGTTAAATTACGACTTACGATACTTATAGTAACACACTGTATCAGAAACAAGCTGTGTAGTTTCTCCTTCATCTTTCATGCATTTTGTCTTCTTGTGTATTGGAGAGTTCATGTATTAATTAGGTATTCAAGTAGGTTAATCAGCCAATGGACTTTATTAGACATATGTTATTTGTATGGATAACGATAATTACGCTGAAGATAATTCTATTTATTTACAAAGGAATATTTTGAAGTGGGAAAGAAATTCTCTAGCTTAAAAAGGTGTTTTATGGTGTCGTATTTATGATCCTGAACGATATAATTGTGGTTCTTTCATTACCTTTCTAGGAAATAATATCAGTACAAACTTAAATGTAAATGTTTAGAACTGCTGTACGTGTGGTCCTTAGTTCACCCTATCAACTTGGGATACAGATGATGATTGGATTAGAATCTCAGAGGAACAGAGGGCGTTTCTCTCATTATGGATGAAAATAAGAAATACAGTCTGGGTTATTAACCCTCTTCCTGGTTTCCTCAAACAAATAAAAACAAATTATCTATGCCACGTGTTCATTACTCTGATAAAATGATTGAGACTGAGTGTTTGTATGCACGTGGTCAGAGCTAGTGATTTTCTTAGTAATTTGCTCTACTTGTGAATTTGTAAGTAGTGTACATTTTAACACAACATTATGACATTTGGATAAAACAGGACAAATCATATAACGTAATTCGAAAATATTTGTAAAATAAAACCTAGTTATGTAGTATCCGACAATGACTAAATGAATAGTAACTGCCAGAGTTAATTTATGGGCCACTATTATGTACATATCATTATTGTATAATTATTATTTAACTAAATTACATGCATATAATTATATACAACCCTTTCATCATGAGCTTCCGATTAACACGGTTTCTTTTCGTTACATGTCTAGTTTATGATGTCATTCTTCATTCAGCTTCTATCTCCTTGTCTTTAGTAAAAAGTTCTAGTCAAAAATGTTAAAATTCCATTGATCAAATTATTCTTTGAATGCTGGGAAATGTAAAGTTAGTCTTCACTACATGATTTTAAAATAATCTTCCATTAATCTAACTAGATTTATGAATAACGCTTTCTTTCAAATTTCATTTTCCAAGTCGTTTACTTAGTTGTGTATATCGTTTTTTCATGAAGTTTGGCACTCAAAAGTCTGATGCTTTAAGAGAAATGGTTTCATTTTTTGGCTTTTCAATGCCGACGTGAGTATATATTGCGTAATCCATTTTCATAAAAACCTTGGGTATCATCATATAAAAGCTTAAAATCAGATGAGAGCAACAAGTTTGGGGGAGGGGACTACACCTTTGACTGATTAAACCAATGCTATTCTGAAAGATCACAATACCTTACAGGGTTATATATAACTTATAATATAATCATTCCCAGACCAAATGACGACACTTTTGTGAAGTTTTAATAAAATGTTGTAAACTATGAAGTCTTTGAATTTGTAAGTAAACCATCTAAATACCTACTGATAATAATGGATGATAGACTTGCAGTATTGAGAAGTGAATGTTGATGAAAATATGGATCACTGGATTTTAACTCAGTAGTCTGTAGTCATTAGACTCATAACAAGACTTGAAGGCTGTTTATCCGGTTCCTTGCAAAAGAACAAGTAAATGAAGTTTAAACATTGCATAATATGATCCCCCAACTAATTCCAAACAGTGAATTCACAAAACTAGTTGGAACTAGTATAAAATATCATATTGGTAATAATATTTGTAAAAACTAAATTAATATGATATATTATTATTGTTATATTAAAAGTTCCATTGTTTGAACAAAAAGGCATGATATGCTTCTTTGTCTAAATATATAGATTTCTAAATTGAATAAAAATAAATAAACATATGATTGTAACGAAAAAGATAGTGAGAAGTAAATTGTCAGTGGGTTCGTCCAATTCCGTAAATGTTTTTTTTTTCGACAGAATCAAATATAAACTGAAAATCGTAGATACTAAAATGTGGAAAAAATGTTGATCAACATAAACAGAAATAGGTTATTAACTGTTGTTCTTTTTCATTAGTTATTCATAGTAAATTAAATAGACGTATATAGATTAAACTAAACAAATACATCAGTATAGGGGTTGTGGAGATTATTAAGTTTTTGATTGAGATCATGAACCGATTGATACTAAACCACCGTTGGAGACCTGGGAGCATTGGACGGCCGTTTCGTGCTATTATAGGACTCCTCAGCAGTGCGCATCCACGATCCCGCTTGCGGGATTCGAACCCAGAGCCTTCAGTCTCGCGCCCGAACGCTTAACCTACTGGACTGCTGAGCCGGTATCCAATGGTGTTAGTGTCTAACATCAACCAATAGGACGGAACGGCCGTCCAGTGCTTCCAGGTTTCCAACGGTGGTCTAACAATCGGTTCATGATCTCAATCATAAACAAATTTAGTTTATTAGTTATACTTATTGACTTAAGTAGTATCTGCTAAATGCTGAAAATTTAATAGACCTGGTTATTTAAAAAAATAAAGAAGACTTTTTAAGTTATATTGGAAAAACAATTTCACGTTTCAGTCTTCTGTTTGAGTTAGATTCTGTCCATCGAGAATAGTGATGTTTTTGATAAGTTAGATGGTTTAAAATACTGAATATAATGATATTTATTAGAGTAGCATCTCTATGAATTCTGGAGAGAAAACGTCTGCTTCCACTTTGATCATCAATTCATAGTGATACGATAAAGGGAAATTATTGTTAAATTGATATAGAAATTTATAGCTCGGATGGTCTTTTAGTTGGATGGATAAGTTGTTAACCTTCCAACATCATTCTGGACAATATTATTATGAGAACTTAATTCCAGTGCTTCCAGGTTTCCAACGGTGGTCTAACATCAATTAATTCATGATCTCAACCAAAAAATCTGAGTGTGGTAGAGGTTTGTTAAGAAAATGACAATTAATTTGATCTACAGTCATTAGACATATCGAAATATATCAAATTTACTATTATCTTCTAAAAGAACGTCAAGGTACTTGTGACATAAATGAAGAGATTATTTTTACTTGACATAGGCACTGATTATATTATCACGAGGGATAATAGAAGATTCTTAACTAAAACGTGCTGAATAGAGAGGCCAACACTATTGAATGACATTATTTTTTTAAAATAATTTATTATCATATTAATTTAGGCAGTTCATCATATATGAAATAAATTTAATCTTCCACTTTGTTTTCAAACTGATTGAATGATTTCAAGGACTTCATGTCATTAGAATTGTTCAGTTTTGTGGCATAATAACCAGAAAAGATTTAACATTAATTAAATAGTTTTCAAAAGCAAAGACATCGTTTGCACCCCAATCGTCGTAGACTTTTACATTTTGTAGTAGTTTAAACTCTTAACCCATCAATATCTGAATACTAACTGATCAAATTTAAACTTAATTATTTGTATGTAAACTTTTTAACATGAAATCTTGAAGGAAAAAAGAAAAAAATGTATGACCAAGGAACACATTGTTGTAGGAACTGAAAGCAGACATCAAAATAATGGATAGCATCTGAAAACAACTGCGAATGATTGTTGAGGACAGAGTTAGGTGGAGAATCCTGGTGAGTGGCCTATATTACTCCATGTGGGGTAACAGGCTTATGTAAGTAAGTCTTAGTAATATTTATAGATCATCAGTTCAGTCAAATAATTTTGGTGATCAGCCTGGTTTTGTATACATATAATTTCGTTGAATTGTGGTCAAATTATGTAAAGAACATGTTATTGTGAATACCCGTGCAACCATTATTATACTTCGTGGATCGAACGATCGGACAACCATAATCATTCTAATTCCTTGTCAAAAATGTTTATTTCAGAACAAAGCTTATATTGTACTATCAGAATGCAGCAAAACGAGAAACTTAGTGTATTAATGTAGTTTTAGAAGCAGATATTTTTATGTTCGCTAACGCGACATCAAACCTCCCAGTAATTATAACATTTAAGCGCGTGATATATAGACTGCCACATACATCCCAGTCTTATTTACTCATTAAGACAAGTATTATATATATAATATGGGCGAATTATTATGGACTAAAATAACATTATCTGTCTGGCAAATAGGTTCAATCAAAGACTTAAAACTAATTTGATTAACTACAATCCTATGTATATGGAAAAAACTACTAGTTTACCTTAAAAAAAAAAAGAATTCTGTAACTTACATCTTCAGCACTGAATAGTGATGTACCTTCAAGATTTTTTGGATGTGCTTCAATTGTTTCAAAAGCAGTTTTAAGTCGAACCATACATAACATAAAATCTTCAAAACTGATTTTATCTGTTCCAGGATCTTGATATCGATTTATAATGGCATTGATTAATCGATTACTCACATGATAACCTAGAAATTAAGAGAAAAAAAGTAGTTCAATTCATGAAAAATAATATTTCATATCAAGTATTTGTTTAAATAATCAAATAGAATTTAATTTTTTGATTGAGATCATAAACCGATTGATGTTAGACCATCACAATTGAAAACCTGGAAGCACTGGACGGCCGTTTCGTCTTATTACGGGACTTCTCAGCAGTGCGCATCCACGGTCCCGCTCGCGGGATTCGAACCCAGGGCCCTCGGTCTCGCGCGCGAACGCCTAACCAACTAGACCACTGAGCCGGCACCCAATGGTGATAGTTTCTAACATCAACCAATCCAATTGCGCGACCAACTTCCGTTGTACTGAGGTAGATACCTGTCTCTACCCGACAAGGATTAGCTCCACTGGTCACGGCTTCTCACTAGAACTCCGAGAATTCCCTCACGAAGCTAGTCACTAGTGATCACATGTTGATTACTAGTATAGGGGTTGTGGAGATTATTAAGTTTTTGATTGAGATCATGAACCGATTGATGTTAGACCATCACAATTGAAAACCTGGATTTAATTGTATGAAAAAAAATGATTTAGAAACAGCGGTATTTCAAATGGTAATAAAATGTTTACAGACTATAAAATGTAAATTATAATGATAATTATCAATACTTTATAGTATCGATTATATTGTTATTCAATAATTCTTTATTGATTTTGTATCATTTCAACTGAATTGTTATAATATTCAATGAGATATGTTTGAAACTATTTAAGTTTCACAATTGATTGATCACTGGGTGGTGATCAATCTCATGCTTGTCTAGTCCTTATTAGTGCAGATCGAATGCTATCGATCATGTTGCAATGTGGCCACCAGTCTGGGTGACTCGACACTGCGGGCACTATGTAATGAGATTAGATGGTGGTTGGAGGTAGTCAACAGGAAACCCTGGACCCGGGTTTCGTGCTACTTGGCACTCGTCAGCAAGGTGTACCTGTAATCTTGAGGGAACTGGTGCTCCCTGGCGGATTCGATCTCGTGTCACCCAGCTTCACAGTCAGAGACGTTACCACTGAGCTATCCGAGTGGTGGTGATCAATCTCATGCTTGTCTAGTCCTTATTAGTGCAGATCGAATGCTATCGATCATGTTGCAATGTGGCCACCAGTGATCAATCAATTGTGATTACATCTCAGTCCTACAGGAGGTTAGTCACTGCTCGGATAGCTCAGTGGTAACGTCTCTGACTGTGAAGCTGGGTGACACGAGATCGAATCCGCCAGGGAGCACCAGTTCCCTCAAGATTACAGGTACACCTTGCTGACGAGTGCCAAGTAGCACGAAACCCGGGTCCAGGGTTTCCTGTTGACTACCTCCAACCACCATCTAATCTCACTATTTAAGTTTAGTTAGATTTAATATAACACATATGACTGAACACTTTACTCCAAATCATCCTGACCTTTATTGAATGACCTTTCTAATTTGACAAATAATACAATTTTGAAGTATATATATGTATCGTAACAGATGCAAACGTGCACCATTTTTAACACATAACATTGTCAAATTCATTATTACAGGCCTTATTTTTGACCTTTGTAAAATATCATAATTATGGACTTATGACTGTAGAGCCTGATGATGAAGTTATTGAAAACAATTGTTCGCTCAAATATTCTTCATTTTAGATATAATATACTTGGCATTTATTTATATAAATAAATGTATTAAATTTTTAGTTGGAAGATTGTTTTGATCGTATGTTAAAGTTATTTTCCAGTATAATTGTAAACGAAAAAGTTCGGAGTTATTGTCAGTTGAGGTTAAAGTTAATCTTTCTGATTGTATGTAATAATATTATTGCGTTAACAAACTGTTTTGACTAGTTATATTATCTAAATTGCGACAGTACGGATCATCGTCGAACGATCATTTGTGTGGAACACGTCACTTTACATTAACTTCATTGATTATGAAAAGGGGTTTGACAGTGTAGATAGGAGGACGTTATGGAAACTTCTTCGACACTATGGAGTTCCTGAGAAGATTGTCAACATTACTCGGAACCCATATGACGGACTACAGTGCAAGGTCGTGCATGGAGGACAGCTAACAGACGCATTCCAAGTAAAGATCGGAGTCAGACAAGGCTGTCTACTCTCTCCCTTCCTCTTTCTTTTGGTGGTCGACTGGATTATGAAGACTTCGAAATCTGAGAGAAAACACGGAATACAATGGACAGCTCAGAACTAATTAGACGATTTGGACTTCGCAGATGACCTAGCCCTCCTATCGCATACATACGAACAGATGCAGATAAAGACAGTTAGTGTAGCAGCAGTCTCTGCATCAGTAGGCCTCAGCATACACAAAGGGAAAACCAAGGTCCTCAAATTCAACACGGAGAACAGCAATCCAATCACTCTTGATGTCGAAACTCTGGAAAATGTAGAGTCCTTCACATACCTGGGAAGCATAATCGATGAACAAGGAGGTTCAGGTGCAGAAGCAAGGGACACATTCTTATTATTGAATAACATATGGAACTCAAAACAACTGTCTGTCAACCTATATCAAAGTCAGAATCTTCAATGAGATCATCAAAACAGTCAGTTCTACTGTACGGAGCTGAAACTTGGAGAACTACAACAACCACAATCAAGAAAGTACAAGTATTTATAAATAGCTGTCTACGCAAGATACTCAAAATCCATTGCCGAATACCATCAGCAGCAGCCCCTACTGTGGGAGAGAACAAACCAGCTTCCAGTTGAAGAAGAAATTAGGAAAAGACGATGGAAATGGATAGAACATACATTACGCGAATCATCGAACTGCATCACTAGGCAAGCCCTGACTTGGAAGCCTGAAGGGAAGTGGAAAAGAGGAAGGCCAAAGAACACATTATGTCGGGAAATGAAAGCAGATATGGAAAGGATGAATAACAACTGAAAGGAGTTAGAAAGGATTGCCCAGAACAGGGTTGGATGGAGAATGCTGGTGAGCGGCCTATGCTCCTTTATGAGGAGTAACAGGCGTAAGTAACTAAGTAAGTGTAGTATTAACAAAGAGAGTAATCTCTAGCTTTTTAATTAGTCAATTACACATATTTTGATAGAGTAATTAGAAGACAGAGTTGATTTGAGTAACTCCATCTTTTTATTACACAATGGAAATTTATGAAAAAGACTAATTATTTTATTATTACATAGATTAAAAATGTTAAATTTATTTATTCATGAAATGTTACAAAGATAAAATGCGTTCATTGTGGTATAAGAAATATCTTAAAATGTTTTAGTGAAAAATACTTTTTTTTGGCAACGTTGGATTGTGATTGATAGTGAAATCAAGCGGGTCGTTTTCTTGTCTCATTTATTTTTTATTAGCTTAGGATACACATACCTTAAAAGAGACTAATCACTTGCTGTTCTTATTATCAACAATGAGAGGACATTAAAAAAAGATATAAATTATTACATAAATATACCTGCATCATTCAATGCTTCACGGAATTCATATGCACTGAAATAACCACTTTCATCAACATCATGTTTTATGAAAATATGCTAGAAGTTTTAAAAACAAGAAGAAATGGAAATAGTAGTCACTTCTGGAAATTATGTTAGAGATATATGAAGTCATTGATGATTGATCCACAGCCAAATAAAGAATGACGGTACAATGAGTTCTTTAACGTACGCTCCAGTTACCAATGAAAAAATACGGCACTTCGAGTAAAGTGTCTTGATGAACTAATGCTGTGATATTTTATAAAGATAATCACTAAGAATAAGGGTATAAGGGAGTCGAACTGTCTACCGTAAATTGAGTTGATGCTGCTGCCATTCCGTACGGTAAAACACAATGAAACAGGTAGAATGGAACATAAGTAATCGTTGTGTATAGGTGCACTTTCGAATGAATAATTTTCCTTGTTCATCATTAGGGAAAGTGAAGATCATATCATCAATATATGAAAAGCAAAACTGAGTTTACAAAATAAAATGTCCGGACTGTAATACTGTTTTTGTGAGTGGGAAATCGCGACAGTCCAGTGAGTTTAAGTAATATGAATAGACTAAAGTGAATAAGTGGACTAATAAATGAAGTAATCAACGTTAGCTACCATACGCAAATTTTTCTCAGGTGACACCATGAATTTCATCAACGTTTAACATACAAAACATACCACAATTTGAACACATTTCAAAGTAAAGTGGTGGTTAGAAGCAGTCGACAACTTGGTCTTTAAAATTCAATCAGCACTAAGACGGAATTAAAGTAAAAAATATCGGTCACTACTCAGTGATAATTCAGTTGTAGAAATTTCACAGTAAATGACTTATATTGTTTGTCTTCAGTCTCAAATAACTCCATCTAAATGTTTGCACGAATCTACGATGTTACGTTTGAATAATTATGCTTTATTCTTATAACTAGGATTTTATGTATAAAAGCATAGGTGTCACAACATAAAGACTATATTTAGCGCTGTTGCACAAGAAAATGAAGTTAGTTAAGACTCATTTCATTGAATATGATATGAATGCTAGTTTATGAAAAAACCCAAGGTTAAGTATGCTAAATGTTGTAAACCAAGCTAGAGTTATTTACTGAAGCTCATTGTTGATAATAACACTAATAATTTGAGCTTGGAAACGTTTTAAGGAAAGAATTTAAAACTGCTCTCATTGTTTTCCATGTTTTTTTATGGTTGAATAAGTTTAAGAAGTTTATTTTATTATTCTGTAAATCATTTACAAATCACTTACTTTCCATCCTTTAGCTTGTATCCAAAGATCCATAAATTCGTTTAATTCAACTTGACCTGTTAAGTTATTCTAAATAAACGACCATAGGTTAAGGTATTTTTCAGCGGAAAGAAAGATTGATTATAAATTATGGGAACACTTGTGGTAAACAGCTTTGAGGATCTCAAACTTGTGCATAATGTAAATTTCGATTTGCACGCACCGATGTTAAGTAAATTTTTATCTTTGGGTTGAAATATTAAAGTTTATGCTTACTGAATGCTTCAGGTGGATTCGATTATTATAACATAGTTTAAACCAAATAGCTTCATTCCATAAACTTCTGCATCATTGTTGACGTAATTTTCATACAATCAACAGTTTACGGAATTAAATTTAATGAGATTTGTTAGTAAATTAAGCGTCATGATGCTATTTCACTGATTGAGGATTATGAAGGTTGTAATATATTCATTTATAATATCATGGGCTAATCATTGAATACTACATTGAATATCACATATTCGTTCAGTATAAAGGTGTTAGCTTTGACAAACTAAGTTATAAGTAGTATTTTTGACACATTCGCATTTCTAATTTTACTTATTCCCTGTCCCAAAAAGCGTATCACTGTTGAAACTCTGAACAGCATATATATGCAAACAATATTGTTTCCAATTAGATTTTCACCAGACTTAAAGCAGCATATACAAAAGTACTAGAACTATCAAGACAGTCGACGCAAAAATAAAACTGATAGTTTGATGACAGGTGTACTAGTTTTGATAGGAAAAATAAAGGTTTGAATCACTGTTTCATAACAGGAAGTAGGGCAATGACTTAGAAAAACAGACATTGAAATAACATTAATTAAAGATCGTTAAATCATGTGATAAAAAGTGTTGAAACAATTAGGCAGAGAAGAATATGTACACAAAATTGAGTGGAGAAAAACTAACATAGAAAATTATTTGTTGAACGTTTTCTGGTCCGCCAAGAAATAAGAGTATCTTAAATTCTATTCAAATACAGAGGCTAAAGGTTTTGGCTCGAATCCCTATAGCTTCCACTATATGCAGAATACGAAATCGAATCTCAAAGCATAAAATACATTACTCGGAATGATTTATTCTTTTCTATAAAATGACCGCTATCAACCAATTGTGATAGAGTTGAGCTGATTATTGATTTTTTTTCACACCATTCGCCAACCATGAAGGTAAGTGCTTTCAAACTCATAGGCTAATTTTCTGGTTTTAAATCATGTGAAGCTTTCTCTACAAGGACAGCAGAATTTGTAAATACACCTGTATGTGGTAAAATTAGGTCACTTACTCTTTATTTGAAGAACCGATTAAGGTTGACTAGAAAATAATAGACAGAGACATGATGCATATGAGGTCCTCTTAACTGTTCTAGTCAGTTTATCCAGTAGTAAATCACTAACCATATCTCAGTTGGACTGTAGCCTCGAGGAAGGATTGTTTGAATATTTCCATATATACACATAAATATTACTGTATATTAAAGTAAATTCTAATGAAGCTTTACTTTTAAACACTATTTTTCACCCATATGGATTGTTCTAATCTACACTATAGAATTCTAACATTTAAAGTTTGTTAAATGTATCCTGTGTTATAATAATAATGATTTTGTCTTAGTAATTACATCATTAGTGATCTTTTTCCGATGAGTAATATCAATGGAGAGAAATTTTACCATATAACTATTCATTTTATTTAAGAGATATATTTTCTTTCTACAAAAATGATTGACGGACACATAGTATCTACTGTAAAAGAAATGTACCTCTCAGTTAAATTACAAGAATATCGTAAACACTTCTGTGTGCGAACGGTATTTTGCTGGGTATTTTATCACTTGGTTATTTGTTTTCAATTTATTTGATATAGATGTGATACAAAGTGGAATTCAATTCAGCATCCAGATATAAGTAGTTAGCTCACACATCTGTAGGCGTTTTGGCAAACATTTTGCTGACACATATATATCGATTAGTTTTTTTTCAGTAGCTATTCAACTGAAAATCATCTTACATTCTTTTTCTAAAACTAGTTGCTAATTCTTACGAATAATTTTAGTTTCAGAATGCATGGTTTTGATCTTAAACCATATTTTCTGTTAAAGTAGGCATAGCACTCATACTTAAGAATATGTTACATAGTATTATAATTTGACATTTTTAAAATGAATGTTATTTCAAGTATTGTTTCTTTTTCTTTGATAAGCAACTATAAAACGCATTCCTAGTACTCTTTGTTTTACAGGTGAGTATCAATGAACAATTATATTATATCAATAGTTGAAATCATGAGTCAATTGAAGCTAGACCACCATGGAAAACCTGGGAGCACTGGACGGCTGTTTCGTCCTAGTGTGGGACTCCTCAACAGTGCACATCCACGATCCCGTCCCCTACGGGATTCAAACCCAGGACCTATCAGTCTCACACGCGAGCACTTGACCATTAAACCACTGAGCCGGATGGCATCCAACGGTGTTAATGTCTAACTTCAACCAATCCACGAAATCGTACCACTGTCACCATTGACTTCAGTGAGCTGATATCTCACAACAGACCTGGTTGAACTCCACTGGTCACGGATGCGCACTGCTGAGGAGTCCCATACTAGGACGAAACGGCCGTCCAGTGCTTTCAGGTTTTCCATAATGGTCTAGCTTCAATTGACTCATGATTTGAACTGTTGAAATTATTAAAATCTCCACAAAACCCTTCTGTTAATTATATTATACTAGATTCTTATAGAGGTATATATTTCCTCTAAAATTATCAAGATTATACTGATTTAAAATAGAATCATAGTAAAACGTGATGAAGGATACATCTACAGATGCAACCATACTACGACATAATTCTTTATTAAATCCTTGAAAGTTAGGGATATCTATAAAGAAAAGAAAAGAAAAGAAGAAATAAATGTTAAACTTATGAATAGTTTGTTTGAAAGCTGATTGTTTGGTTGAAATCAAACTTTCATATCTAAAGTTGATGAATGAATTGATTTAGAATGTTTATTATAAAGTATTTTATTGTTTTAAACGGATTTCTAATATAAACTCGAAAATTTAGGATAGAAGATAATTATATTAATTTATTTATTCTACTTTAAATATTATTTTATACGAATACTTTCCCATTTTAAATTACTAGACATCGTTGGCATACTGTGTTGATGAAGTTTGAATTCTATATTATATTATACTTAACTGTATGAAAGATGATACCGGTTAGAAAGAATAAGAATTATAAAGTTGACCGCACTAAAAATGTGCAAAGTTTGTCATAAAATACATTTTTAACGTATAACTAAATAGCTAACATCTGCATCTTGGTTACTAAGGTACTTTAGTATGATGGTATCGTATTGAAGCTGTATCAAAGTTACTTGATCAATTTATTATCAGAGATTAAGGTTATAATTCCTAAGCTAAATTATTCGAATTGTGAATTTTGGACTTTTACCAGTTGTTTTCAAGGTTATGAGTACACGTTACTGACGGGTTTCACCAAATTTACAATCCATATTCAGGTCTTTGACCACACAACATCGATAGACAAATTTGGTAATATTTGTTTAACGAAAAGCAGTAATAATACTGTAGGGAATTTAAATAGTTTGAAAATTATGTTCAATTTCATAATAGGGGGTTATGGATGATTTCTGATTTTTTAAAATCACCATAAAAAGTGACCGCACTACCGTCATTTCAGATTATTCATTTGAAACTGTAGCTCAATGTGTTACATATGAATACCTTAATCAAAAATCGAGCGATTATATTGTGAGGCCCGTCGTCTTGTCGTTGTTTAGATCGGACGATGTTTGTTGACGGACTCTCCACTTTAGTGGCCCAAGTTCTGACTTTAATTCGATCGTATGAATGATTGTTATTGAAATATATATGTCGCATATCCTCGTATATAATCATCGACTTAAATCACGTTAGTCAATAACGGAATTAAATAAGTCAAATAACGAGAATGAACTTCTGAATACATATATTTTGTACATAGAGCGAATGGAATAGAACAAAGCAAAACGACGCGCAGTGGAGAGATGGCAGGTAAGCCGACTCCCCTTTAACCAAGCGTTAATCAATAGTTATAGTTACACAAATGTAAGTTACAGACATGTGATGAGTAATGGGATAAGAAATGTACACACACCTACGAGCTCATATAAAAACAATCAAGATTGATAAGCGAATAAATAACAAGGTCAGAACGTGACTCAAGTAGAATGAATAGAATGGGCTGTCCGAAAGCTAGAATAAGGTATATGGGCTTAACATAATAACCGACACTACAATATCCCATTTATGCTACCAGCAATGAAGTCAGTACTAATTATAGGTATAAGTTGTAATCTGCCTTTAAAAGTTAATTCAACGATAGGGTAGGTATTCTCCTATAATATTTCGTGATGACTAGACTATATTATGAAAAAGTGAACTGTTATATCATAATGTAGTAAGTAGCTCAATTTCTTAAAATTCGCCTAAGAACTACCTATCCTGAACAAGATGAATCATCAGTATATGTTACTGAAGTGAAAATACTTTTATACATACCTTGTAATGTACTATTATTTAAAAGTTCACCCAATTTAACAGCATTTATAGCTTTAGTTTTTGGATCACGGATAGCCATAAATTTTTTTTCAATTTCTTGATCTTCATCCTATGTGTAATTTGTTTATTTATAAAAAAAAACAAAATGTGAAAGAAACAACAAAATACACAAAACCCCTTCTGAAAGTACAATATTTTTTATAGTTTACTAAAGAAAAATGACAATATCATTAATCATACAATTGATAAAACACTTTTGTACTTATGATAGATAACTATGATTTAATTAAATAAAAGAAGGTTGAAAGAATGTTATTCAAATGTCAATAATAATGAATGTGAATGATATTAAAGTACTGAAATTGTGACCTTATTCAAATATTATGATTGGAATAGAATATTAAGTGAGGTTACAAATTAAAATGTCATTTGATGTACATAGTTATATGGGTGACTTTAGATTTATTTTCTAGAGTTCCTAGGACGATTTTAATTATATTTTATAGGTTTTTAATGAGTTGGATAAGTGTTTCTTTAGGTTGGGCTAATATATAGAGTTTTAGTTTGTTTTATACGGCCACTCGACAACATCTACTGAAATCAGATAAATGAAGTTTGAAACAGCTTGTCTGTATACTTGTGTACATCAAGTAAATGTAGAGTATTGTGAGCCCCCAAATGCCCTGGTACGGCCGAGAGTGGTGAGAGTTCGCTCTCCCTCTCGAAATGCTCTCAAATGGCCACGCGTATATAGCCTCTGCCAGGGAAGTCCTACTCACTACCTTCTTGTGGCGGAGGTGTTGTTTACGAAATTGAGAGGACGAAAAGCGAATGTCCGGCACTTTAACCGGGTTGGTGGACATGGAGAGTTCACCTAGGGGAGTTGGAAAACCCTGATTCCAAACCAATGGTGCACATGGGCTCCAGTATCCTGAAAGAACAAATGGCGTGTGAACCAATAGTTAGTCACCGGCTAACATGGGACTGCATCTCCTTACGATGCTCCACTGCCTTGTGGATCAAACCTTCAGGTCGAAGGTTCCGGGTGTGGCATCCTGAGAAAACCACCTGCCTTGGTTTGGGCACCCGGGCAGTATCGCAGCCCTCACACATATCAAATGAGATCTGTGTGGTGCATATTTGTATTTGGTGCCTCCTTGTACCAATATCTATGTGTTAAAATAAATAAATAATACATAATAATAGAGTATTGTGAAACAAATTGCCAATGATTTCCATGATCAATGAAATAATGATGTTTTGTGATCATTTTTCATTGTTTATCAAAAATTATCTTTCTTATTATAATCTGTTTCGGCATAAGGTTGTGGAGATTGTTGATAGGTTCGTGCATTTAATAAAATTCAACAATCTCCACAATACTATACTAAGGATTATCATGTAGGCACTGGTAACTAGCTTTGAGAAAGACCCTAAGAGTTTTAGTGAGAAGCTGTGACCAATGAAGTTCAATCCTGTTGGATGTGAGGCAGTTACTCACTGAAGGGAATGAAAGATGATCGCTCAGTATCATAGACTGATTGAAGTCAGACAATAATACCGACGTATGCTTGCTCCTTGGTCTAGAAGCTAAGTGTTTGCGCGCAAGACCGAAGTTCTTGGGTTCTGTTGTCACGCTCAGTGTAGTGGATGCGTACTGCTGTGATGTCCCATACTAAAACGAGATGAGCATCCAGTGCCTCCAGATTTTTATTACTCGTATAACATTTATCGGTTCATGATTTTACTGAAAAATAACCTATTTCATTATTTAAATAATTTACATATTAAGGGTAAGAGATAATAATTAGAGTTAGATCACCAATCAGTTTCATTGATCTTTCGAGAGGTAATTAATATGAGAGCACATATTATTGCGTCATACCATTATCATAAAATATAATAAAACAAACTCTGGAATATCCATAGTATAGTAGCATAAAATTGAAATTCTCAGTTAAAATTTCTATTGTTTGTACTGTGTTACGAAGTACTCCGCTGAGCTGTTTCCAAGTGTGATTATCAGTTATTTACTGGTTTTTATGACTCAAATGTCTTACAGATGATTTATATTATTGACAACATCTGTTTAAAATAAATATCATCTACATTTTAATGTATGAACGGATTACACCTCGATTTATATTGATTGAAAATTAGGAACATTTCATCATCAAAACAACAGAAGTTGTTTACACTACACAGAACTAAAAAACAAATGGTTACACCCAAATGACTTGAAAACATATTCCTTGAGGACTAAAGAACAGGTGAAGTTTAAATATCTTATCGATTTTGAAAATCTAAACATCTGTGAACACACTGAGTTATACCACATAGAGAAATTTAAAAAAAAAACCAACAAAAAGGGATCAGTAAACGGTTGCTTAATCCTAATATGGAAGGAATTCTTCAATAATTTTCAATGTTTCATGATTTTCTGTAAATGTGATCTGAGTAAAATGTTGTCAAAATATTTCAATGAAGAGAATAATGTTGACTTACTAATAAAGTATCTTCTAATTTCAAAGCTTCAATAACATCCTAGACAAGTAAACAGTAAATAGACAGGTATTTTGTGAGTTAGACAACATTAATATAAATAATCATTGCAAATTAATTGACAGTAATTGAGATCAATGTACATTAGTTTATATACAGACAATTTGTAGTGAAATCTATTATACAATAATCATTTTACTTCTCGAATTACGCTACATTAATTGCAACAAACATAGATTGGAATGTTTAAAAAAACATTTATACTAGATTACAAATGAATGTATTTAGATAAACTGAAATCTTATATGGCTTGAATCGATATTCTTTGTAGGTATAGGAATAAATGTGTTAAATGGACTCAACTAAGAGATTTTGATTGTTGAGTATTAAATAAATGCTAAGTTCAGTCGGCTTTAATTCTTCATTCATACTATTTGACATAAAGGTTAATAAATATGGGCAAACAAAATTTCTATTGGATTCAAAGTGCTATATTTGAAATTAATGATGAAACATGAACAAGATATACATCTCCTGAGTGAATAATTATTTGCTAGTCAATCAAGCTTTCTATTAGGATTGTCTAATTAATGAAGATGATCTGAGCATTGACTGGTAATTTTCGAGTTCACGGAGGAAAGTATCGATAACGTATCTGTAACTAAACTCGTGAAGTTCTTTCAGTTCGGTCATTCACTTCAAAGGAATTATGCAACATGAAATTCAGTCAAGTGTTTGATCAGATCCAGAGAAAAGTCTAATAGTTTTAAGACCAGCCTTATCCAGCTCCATTGATTTGGATAAATGTACTGCCAATTTTCTTAATGGTACTTGACCAGATATGAAATAATTTTACTATTTAGGTTCACTAAAGTCATCAGTTAGTAGCATTGCTCGTTTTAAAGTCAATATTTCTGGACTACTATAAAATAAACTAATACTTACTTACTTACTTACGCCTGTTACTCCTCGTGAAGGAGCATAGGCCGCTCACCAGCATTCTCCATCCAACCCTGTCCTGGGCAATCCTTTCTAGCTCCGTCCAGTTGTAATTCATCGTTTTCATATCTGCTTCTATTATCCGACGCAATGTGTTCTTTGGCCTTCCTCTTTTTCGCTTCCCTTCAGAATTCCAAGTTAGGGCTTGCATCGTGATGCAGTTTGACGATTTGCGTAATGTATGTCCTATCCATTTCCATCGTCTTTTCCTAATTTCTTCTTCAGCTGGAAGTTGGTTTGTTCTCTCCCACAGAAGGCTATTGCTGATGGTATCCGGCCAATGGATGTTGAGTATCTTGCGTAGACAGTTATTTATAAATACTTGTACTTTCTTGATTGTGGTTGTTGTAGTTCTCCAAGTTTCAGCTCCATACAGTAGAACTGCCTTGACGTTCGTATTGAAGATTCTGACTTTGATATTGGTTGAAAGTTGTTTCGAGTTCCATATGTTCTTCAATTGTAGGAAAGCGGCCCTTGCTTTGCCGATCCTCGCCTTTACGTCTGCATCGGATCCTCCTTTTTCATCGATGATGCTTCCCAGGTATGTGAAGGACTCTACATCTTCCAGAGTTTCGCCATCAAGTGTGATTGGATTGCTGTTCTCCGCTTTGAATTTGAGGACCTTAGTTTTCCCTTTGTGTATGCTGAGGCCTACTGATGCAGAGACTGCTGCTACACTGGCTGTCTTCATCTGCATCTGTTCGTGTGTACGTGATAGGAGGGCTAGGTCATCTGCGAAGTCCAAATCGTCTAATTGATTCTGAGCTGTCCATTGTATTCCGTGTTTTCCTTCAAATGTCGAGGTCCTCATAATCCAGTCGACCACCAGAAGAAAGAGGAAGGGAGAGAGTAGACAGCCTTATCTGACTCCGGTGCTTACTTGGAATGCATCTATCAGCTGTCCTCCATGCAATACTTTGCATTGTAGTCCGTCATATGAGTTCCGGATAATATTGACAATCTTCTCAGGAACTCCGTAGTGTCGAAGAAGTTTCCATAATGTCTTCCTATCTACACTGTCGAATGCCTTTTCATAATCAATGAAATTGATGTATAGTGATGAGTTCCACTCAACTGATTGTTCGACGATGATCCGTAGTGTTGCAATTTGGTCTGTGCACGACCGATCCTTACGGAATCCAGCTTGTTGATCTCAAAGTTGAGCGTCTACTGCATCCTTCATCCGGTTCAGCAACACTGTGTTGAAGACTTTCCCTGGTATTGACAGTAGTGTGATGCCTCTGTAGTTCTCACATCTGCTCAGATCTCCTTTCTTTGGAATCTTGATGAGGTGTCCTTCTTTCCAGTCCATCGGCACTTGTTCCTCCTCCCAAATCTTTTTGAATAGAAGATAAAGCATGCTTGTGGTTGCTTCGATGTCTGATTTCAGTGCTTCAGCTGGTATGTTGTCGGGTCCTGCTGCTTTCCCGGTCTTGATTTGTCTGACGGCCATTCTTATTTCTTCCGTAGTTGGTGGATTGACATCTATAGGAAGATCTATGTGTGCTGCTTCGATGTTCGGTGGATTCATTGGAGCCGGCCTATTCAGGAGCTCTTCGAAGTATTCTACCCATCTGTTACGCTGTTGTTGAATTTCGGTGATTGGCTTGCCTTCTTTGTCTTTGACCGGCCTCTCTGGTTTACTGTATTTCCCTGATAGTTTCTTCGTTGTATCGTCAAGCTGTTTCATATTCCCTTCTCTAGCAGCTTTTTCTGCCGTCGTTGCTAGTTCTTCCACATATTTCTTCTTGTCGGCTCTAATGCTCCTCTTCACTTGTTTGTTTGCTTCTATGTATTCAGCTTGTGCTTGGACTTTCTCTGCTCGTGTTCGGCTGTTGTTTATTGCTGCCTTCTTGTTCTTCCTTTCTTTGATCTTGTCCAGTGTTTCTGTAGAGATCCATTCCTTATGATGGTATTTCTTTAGACCCAGAACCTCTTGACACGTTGAAGTTAATGCTTCCTTGATGCCTTTCCAGTTGTCCTCCATAGTAGTTTCTTCTTCTTTCAGTAGATCTTGTAAGGCTTGGAACCTGTTGTTGAGAGCTATCTTGAATTCATTGAGTTTGACAGTATCTCGAAGGAAGGCTGTATTGAACCTTTGTATTGCTGTTTGTCCACTTGTCCAGTTCTTTTTTAGCTTCAGTTTTAAATTGGCTACAACTAGGTGGTGATCTGAAGCTACGTCAGCACCTCTCCTGGTTCTCACATCTTCCATTGTCCTTCGGAATTTTTTGTTGATGCAAATATGATCTATTTGGTTCTCTGTAGTGTGGTCCGGTGAGATCCATGTAGCCTTGTGTATACGCTTGTGTGGAAATATTGTGCCTCCTATGACCAATTTGTTGAATGCACACAGATTTGCAAATCTTTCTCCATTTTCGTTTCTCTCACCCAGTCCATGTCGTCCCATAATATCTTCATATCCAGTGTTGTCTATTCCGACTTTGGCATTTAGATCTCCCATCAGAATAGTTAGGTCCTTTCTTGGGCATTTCTCAATGATTGACTGCAGCCGCTCGTAGAACTGATCTTTAATTTCGTCGTTGCTATCATTGGTGGGTGCATAACATTGGATAATATTCATTGTGATCCCCTCCTTCTTTGTTTTGAATGATGCTTTGATGATTCTGGATCCGTGAGATTCCCATCCTACAAGTGCATTTCGTGCTACTTTGGATTGCATTAGAACGACTCCCTGAGCGTGTGGAGCATTTTCCTCTTCGTGACCGGAGTATAGCAGCATCTCTCCCGTAGCTAGCCTTTTCTGTCCAGTTTGGGTCCAGTGGGTTTCGCTGATTCCCAGTACTGCTAATTTGTATCTCCTCATTTCCATTGATATTTGACTGGTCTTCCCGGTTTCCCACATTGTTCGAACGTTCCATGTACCTATAAAAATTTTTGCTCTGGTTGTTAAAAGGGGCATCGGCCTCGTGGCTTCCGAAAGAACTCGGCTTTCACTATGAAGCGTCATAATTCTTCTAAATGAAGACCTTCTAACTCCCAGGGCAGGGTTAAAATGGTTTGATTTTTTTTTCTGATAAGCGTTTTTTAGCGAGTTAGTTTTCTACGGGATGGGGACGCTAACCGCATGCCCAACCCTCCTCCTTTACCCGGGCTTGGGACCGGCAGCAACCCTATAAGAGCTACAGGCGGAGCTATAGACCTTAGTAAATTCTGTTAATGGTTGTTATAAAATGTATCCACAACAAACTTTTGTATACATCGTGTTACAACATTTCACTAACTTACGTCTGGTAGACCTTTGTTAGTATTGTCTTCATCAAGTTCTCTAGAAAATAAAGTAATAAATAATGAATAGATAGAGAGCAAACAATCAACTTATACTATTTAATAGCTAACAGGATTTTATAACAGTAGAAATATAAGCAAACATGGACAGAGGAATACAGGATGTGCGTTTCGTCTTATTTGGGATTCGTCAGCTGGATGTGCCTGCATCACAGAACTCAGTACCGTCCGCTTTAAATACCATCGCGTTGTTTACTTAGCTATTGAGTCCTGATAGCCACCTGCTTGTGCAATGGGATGAAGTTTAAATTAATTTGGTGTTGATTGCTTATATCTTTCCATTGTTGTTTAGAACTGCGATTGATCAGTCTCTCATTGGTCTTAGAGCATAGTAGTTACCTTAAATTCAAAGCTGCGTATCCCATCCTTCTAGAGTTATAGAATATAGATTGTTATAAAATACTAGACAATCCTAAAAGAATTATGTACTGCTTCTTGATTTTCAGGGAAGATTCATGTGGCACTAGACAATGGTAAAAATTATCTATATATTATATTTGTATCGTAAATTAAACAAGGTTCACAATAAAGATCATTCACGCTAATTGTAAATGAATATATTTACAATAAATTTAAACTTCCAAGATTATTTTTAGAGGCCACATAAAATGAATTGGTTTGTAATACAAAAGTTATTCATTATAATATTATACAATAACTCCGCCTGTAGCTCTTCTAGAGTTACTGCCGGTCCCAAGCCCGGGTAAAGGAGGAGGGTTGGCCATGGGGTTATCGACCCCATCCCGTAGAAAACTAACTCGCTAAAAACCGCTAACCAGTAAAATTATACAATCTTGAATCACTAAAAGTAAGTTATTGTTATTACGTAATCTATTTTACATAAATTAATCTAATTATCTGAATCGAGTATTTAATGTCTTATACTCATTAATAGAGATAGAAGTTAATTGTTAACTATTATTTTAATCACTAAATTCTTGAGATCAAAATCATTCTTATATTGTGTTTGATGGTATAAAATCAAATAAAATAATCATGAAATCTCCCTGAAGAAGGAAGATGATTGTTTGTATGAAACATAACAGTAATTGATTACATAGATCGGGATTTTAATCATAAGAAATAGACATTTTATGATCTAAAGTATATGATCATAGTTTGAATCACACAAAACTGAAGAAGTATGTAATGCTTTGTTACTTAAAGCATTCAGTACATGAAGCTAGTTGTTGATAATAATCTCCTTATAGAATATGAGGATGAGGGTTTAATGGCCAAAACATCTAATGAATCGATTTTCAACGAAACTTCCAACATCAAATTATTTTTGCGGATTCATATTTATAGGATTGTTTTTTTAATGAATTTGTCGATTATAGGTTGAATACAACATTTATTTATCATCTCGGTGCTTACACGTTAATAGCTAGAGAGGTTTGTACAGGTGTACATAAATCACTGTTGTAATTACAGTTTCAGACCCCGAAATTTCGAGTCGAGTTTATAACAATCAAAACTAAATAATGATTTCAGATGTTAACAGGTTTTACTTATTATACATGAATTTAGAAATTAACACTGTTGAATGCCGGCTCAGTAGTCTAGTTGGTTAGGCGCATGGCGCAAGACTGATAGGTCCTGTGTTCGAATCTCGCGGGGGGCGGGATCGTGGGTGTGCACTGTTGAGGAGTCCCATACTGGGACGAAACGGCCGTCCAGTGCTTTCAGGTTTTCCATGGTGGTCTAGCTTCAATTGACTCATAATTTCAATTAGTGATAGTTAAGTTAGTACCTACGAAAGTTGCATTTACTTTTTTGAATATATATTCTATAATGATATGGATTTTTACGTTACATTTTCATTTACCATTGTAGTGAAAGGATTTAAAAGTTGAAATGTTTACAAATTTAATTATCTTCACAATGAATAAATCATCTATATTTTCTTTGTAATATATATTTATTATCATTTCTATATTGAATATAAGTTTTAATAAATCAACATTACTTACTGTTCTGTAATACTTGTTTGTGAGAATACACGTAATACGAAATTGGCTTCAATATTTGGATCGAATGTACTTGGAATAATAACATATGATCCCGGTGGTACACGAAATTGTGCAGTAACTTCACGTGTATTAATAAATTGTGATTTAGCTATTGGAGATTTAGTTAAAAGTTGTGCACGTGATAATAAAGTGTTTAAATCATCAGGTGCCTTTAAAAAAGAAAATGAATTAAATTATAATTAATTGTATAGTCGGTTGAATTCGATTCATTTGTTTAATCTATTCATTTTGGATGATATTTAGAATGTGTAATGAAGATTAAATAATAGTAATACATTACTAATTACCATTTGTTGTTTATTTTTTTACATCATAAGATGTTTTGGATACTACATTTATGTATATTATGTAAATATTCCACGTGATAGACTTTTCTCCTATTGTCATCCAAACATTTTTATAGTAAAATGTATAAGAAAAATTAATGTATTACAAGATACTGGGCTACTTGAATTTGTATCTTGGTGAAGTTCTTGTTATAGTAATACTTTTAGATTAAGGTCATGAATCACCATTGAAAACCTGGAAGCACTGAATTTCTAGTGAGAAACCGTGACCAGTAGAGCTAATCCATGTCAACTAGAGATGGGTATCTACCTCAGTTCAATGGAAGATGGTCGCGAAATTCTGTGGTTTGGTTAAGGTCAGACATTAAACCCATTGGATGTAAGCTTAGTGGTCTAAAGGTTAAGCGTTCACGCGTGAGACCGAAGGCTCTGGGGTCGAATCCCGCGAGGCAGGATTGTGGATGGGCACTGTTGAGGAGTCCAACAATAGAACGAAACAACCGTCCAAAGCTTCCAGGTTTTCAAAGGTGGTCTAACATCAATCGGTTCATCGTCTCAATCAAAAACCTAATAATATTCACAACCCAATACTGATAATAATATTTTACAAATTTGTGTTTTGTATTAAACAATGAATGCATATATTTACATAGCTTGGAGTAAAGGGTTTTTTCAAAAAGGAACCACTGGGATATTTTAAGTGAATAATGTTTGCGATAAAACTGATTTATTTCTTCTTCTCTCTGTATAATAAACTCATTTCATTAAAACAGATTAGTTTACACACGTATATTCTTGCCATTAACTATGTCTTTGATTACATAGGTATTAAATACACAGCAAATATGATGTACAGCTGACTTCTCGTAAAGATGTTTCTAGAATGGATCAATCTGTTCTTTGAGTCAATGTCTAATTCCGAATATTACCTTTAACACTTAACTGAAATAAAAGTATTCTATATAAGTAATATAGTGGATAGTGTATGTATTTCATCTATTTCTTGCCATGGCTATTCTATTTCATTTGTTTTTGTAAACTTTCGAAATTCAACTAGCACAATATTGTAGTAGCTGATACTATGTCAAGCCCTCATAGGTTATTCAAGCTTCCGAACAGACCAGTTTGTTCATTTTTCTCTAGCCCCACTTTAATTTTATTGATTATTCGCTAATTAACCCTGACTTCCTATCTTCTTCAATGTGTGTTAAGTGCTTGCTCTATTCATTACATGTCTGCAAATAATTTTTATCTGAATAGACATATGGAGAGGAATTATGATCAGAATTGGGATTTATGGAGATTGAAGTAATTTTAATACTTGAACTCACGATTTGCTGTAATCTAGACAACCATTGAAAATCTGGAAGCACTGGATGGCCGTTTTATTCTAGCACGAGACCCCTCTGCGGTGCACCTCCACGATCCCGTATACGGGAATCGACTCACGCGCGAACGCTTAACCTCTAGACCACTGAGCCAGCATTCAACGGTATTATTGTTTAACTTCAGTCGATCCATGATCTTGAGCAACCCAATGTCTGAGGTGGATAACTCTCTTACAGCTGACACGGACTGGACTCTACTGGTCACGGCTTCTCATTAAAACTCCAGAAAATCATCTTGAAGCTAATCACTAGCGAGCACATCATGATTATGATCGGGACGGGGATTTGTTGAGATTGTAGTGCTTCCAGGCTTTCAATGGTGGTTTAGCTTAGATAGACTCATGAATTCAAGTAGAAAGAAATTAAATGTGGTAAATTATGGCCTGTCAATTGTCACATGACAAGGCAGCCAATCAGAACACGTTTTATACAATCTTAACACTGTGCCACAACGCTGACGTATTGACCTGTATGAGCAGCCCAGAGCCTTAATCGTCGATTTTCTACCTAGCCCTGCCCGTTGAGTCTAGAACATCAATGTCAACCTCCACTATACGAATCATTTATATCAAACATACTTGGTTTATATGCAAGCATGTCAGATCACATCATAACATAAAATGAAAAATAACAATTATACAAGATCAAACCAAAAAGTGACTGTGATTATGAGTGACTGTAAGTACTAAATTGGGTATAACTTAAGAATGGTAAGTTGTATAGCAATAGTCTATAAGTCAAAATAAAGCTTATTAATAAGAGGAATATAAATATGCATAATCTAGTCAATAAATATACAATAAGAATATATGTATAATATTAGTCCATTTGTCGTTCTCAGAAGTTACCCATAATTTATTCTTCGCTATGATATAACATTAACCTTCTTCACTGTATCTACTCAAAAATTATACAGGATAGAACACTTTCTATGGAGTTTTGTTAACAACCTAATAAACGATAACATATTGAATTCACTTGGTGTTGTTTTACTTGTATCTTCCCATTGTTATTTAGGACTGCAATTGATCAGTCTCATGTTGGCATATGTGTCCCGATTGAACATCAACTCTGCGATGCAGGTATATCCAGATGACGAGTCCCAAGTAGGACGAAACGCGCGTCCTGGATTCTACTGCTAGCCACTATCCATCTTTGCTTGATATCATATTGAATTGACGATGAACACCTAAGTTTCATAGCTTCATTTATTTATTTATGTTGAATTTTAAAACCTCGCGAAAATAGAAATTTTCAATTAAATCTAATTAACGATTGATATTAATTAGACAGTTCACTTTTTTCCGTTAGGTTCATTTTGAAAAAAATGTGAAACTTGTATTAGATAGTCATTCCATGTATTAGCTATTAGAGTATTAAAATAATTATGTATAAGTATACTCTCCTCTGTAAATTTCTCTTCGAGGAGCAATATACGTATGAATTTACTTTAAAACTTTGAATTTGAGATGATATCCCAGAGGTTACCCGTTGATAACTTGTTTTTCTTACAAGTGAAATCAGTTGAAACCAGTGTTTATCACAATATTTTGTTGATTCCAAAGAAAATTCTCCAATGTTTACTAACCATACGATATGAAATCATATACAGAACACCCTAACTTTTACAGAGGAAGAATGTATTTGTAAAATCTCAGCGAATGAATTTGAAGTAAATGCAACGTTTCGCCTGGCAATCTGGTCCAAGCTTTTTATATTTATTAAGTGGGTGAAACATCGACCCTGACTGTAACATCTAACGATTTCATTCTCCGTTAAATAATTATAATAAGAAAACTAATATTTTACATCGCTGAGTTTGTTTAGAGTTTTAGAGAATTGAATTATCCAGTCAATTTCAATTTATGTTTTGTACAAATTTCACCTAACCTATAACATAAACCATTCTTAAGGTTAACAGTATATTTAATGTGAATTCACAAGATAACTTACATTATAAACCATAAAACCCATAGGTTGAAAATCTGCTCCAACTTTCTTCCTGATATCTTTTTGCATTAAACCAATAAGCACTGAACATTTATTATCATCGTCATCAGGATCTGGATCTTCAACAGTAATGCGAAATTGTGGATTCGTCCAAAAGGTAGCTTATAAATTAGTTGAAAAAACCAATTCAACATAGTTATATTATTTGTGTTTAAATTTGTCAAAAGTTTTATTAAAATATTCAAGAATAATCCAATATTACTTTTATCTATATTTCAATGTTATTTGTTTATAAATGGTATAGAAATTATTAATATTAACTGTTATTAATATATGAACTAATCAAGTGAATGGTAACTACTATTAACTCTTAACTAACTCTTAATGAATATATATTTTTGTTTTCTTTGTCTGGAATTCTAATGGTTGGAGATTTCTTATCTGGTTTAACGATACTAAGTGCATGATTTGATTACTCTCTTGGTAACTGACTCCTGATTTTTTATACACGGACAAAATTTGGATCAGTAGTGTTTGGAAAATTAAGAGCTACAAAGTTATCTCGAAGAATAGCGATTTAAAGTCAGATTTGTCGAAATATTCTTTAATAAACAAATCTGTTTCTCTCCATAGATTTTATTTGTTGAAGCAAAGATTGTGTTTAGATGAGTTGTTTAGCTTTTCGAATAGGAATAAAATGGTTTGGTCATCTTAACTATATTGACGAGTGGCAAATATATAGTTCGGATACAAGTGAAACTTACAGCGATTATTAATACAACCACCAGCATTAACGTTACGTTGCCACTGACCAGAGAATATAGCTTCGTCTAATCGTCTTTTCCCACGGAAATTTTCATTATACTCTAAACTTTCAAGACCTAAATGACATACTTCCACTCGTGTAAAACAAGTAACAAAATCTTCATATGACATCCTGATTATAAACAAAAACAAATAAAAAAGAAAGGAGTTGAAGCAGATAATATTATTTGAATATCAACTCACTACCGATTACTTTTCAAATATAATTTTTATAAAAGTAAATACTATTGTAGTACCCAATATCGTTTATGTAAAAAAATTTATTTCGTTTTGCCGAAATGCTGCTGTCGTCATCATCTAATGATTAGAAAATGTTTAATTGCCATGTGATCCAGCGGACAATTGTTAATAACCACAATTGTTGATTTTTCGTGACGAACTTCTATGAGCCAAAAGATAATTATGAACTTTGGGTCACTGGAGATTAATTCCCCATTATTTTTGGACTCACCAATCATGCATACACGGATTCCCACAGGGTCAAATCCAAAGGATATGGCGTTGGAATTACATTTGCAATCTCAATCAGTTTGTAATAGCACATGAACATCATTTAATTCGGTCGGTGATACATGTCTCACTCTTGATGATGTTGGACCACACCGACAACTGCTTCTCACAAGGAATTCTGGTACCTACTACAATGTAAGTCACCAAAGCAAGTCTCCACAAAACCCCTTTTTAAAAACCTTCACTGGAAAAGTGGTCGAAATAGGGTGAGATAAGACTGGAAAGGTGTTTTCCATACCAGTCAAAACTAATGACTAACTGACAAGAAGTGTGGAAATACTAAACAATGTTAATGATTTTCTGGTGAAATGGTCACCATTGGTTCAGTCCGTCTGATTTGACTTAAAATACCAAACTGTGAAAATTATTTCATTTCAAATCAAGAAACCTACCAACCGTTATCAGACTGGTTAAATTTACATTGAAGAAGGTTGTAATCTTAGTTGTGATTATGTGCTGTTAACCAAAATCTTCTTGGGACTAAATTTGATATTGGTAATAAAAGTGAGAGAAATTTTGACCTCTGATTTGAGATAGGCTTATATTAAATGATAATATTGTGTGTAATCGTACTTAATCTTAACTTGAATTAATACTAGTTAAAGTACAGAAAAGTTTGAAAGTAGGTAATAGTTGTTTTTTGGTGGTTACTGAATTCAATCTTACATCTTATTGAATTTAGGACTTCAAAAGTCTCCTGGCTAGTCTGATGCCCAATAGTCTATAATGCTTAATTTCAATAATATAAAGAGGTATCACAAACAGTGTCAACTATATTCATATTTGTGGTTTCTCATAGAACTTTATGACAATTGTCTAGAAGTGGATCAATAAATTATCACCAAATTATCTTAAAATTAAATATTCAGTGAAGATTTCATGAAAATGAATATTGGTGACGAAAACTAGTTTTATAGAATCATAAAGTATTTTTTGTTTATAGATACTCTGTAGAATAACGTTTCCATTTTACGTAAGTATATTGCTTTACCAAAATTCTCCATCTGCAGTGAAGCTCAAGTTAATATTTTTCTTTTCTTGTTCACTTATTTCACGCCACTGAGGTGAACCATCACACCATGCACCTTTCCATTCATGACTATCACCCCATGGATTACGTAAACGCATTAACCATTGAGTGCGACCTCGGTAGTTGACCTATAGAAAATGTACATGAACATATAGTTGGAAATATTGAACTATATCTTAAGTAGGAATGGATTAGATAATATGATAAAACGAATGAATATAGAATTTTTTTCGAGAAAATAATGGCTTGTGGTGGTTGGTATTCAATATAATCCTTAAACTTCGTATACAGTTCGTCCTTATAACCGTCGCTAGATAATGCCACAGCGGTATATTAATCGGAACGCGAATACGAAGTGTTAATTAAATTTGTTACTGTACCACGCACATATAACCAAATTTACAGGTACGTTAAGCAAGCATGAAAAAATAGTGCCGAAAAGCAAGCTGGAAAGCGAGTGAGTCGAATAAGCTAGTCGGAGAGTAAATGAACAGGATTAAAATGTACATATATACATATACGTAGTGAAATGAATGAATCATCGAATCAATTAAATGACTAACAACAAAGCTAGCAGAATGAATATATGCGTAGGCCAGTAAATATCAAAATTTATGAAATTAAGGTGTATGATAAAACTATCGAGTAAGATATTACAGGCTAAAAGATGGTTTGTAACAAACTAATGGATGGTAATCGTCAAATATGAACTATGATATGCATTAATTTACATTGAAGTGTCATTGTTATCTTTATTTAAAAATACAGTCCTATCAATTCTCATTATGATCTGACCGTTGATGTTATTTTTATTATGTTTTATTGGTAGTCTTAGTGACAAATAAAATAAATTCATGCTATCCATTTTGCTGATTAATGACTTGGATACTACTTAAGTCGTAAAAACCATCTCGTGACTCCATGTAAGTCACTTCTTTTTTTTCATTCTCTAAAGAAGTGGCTTACACAGAATAGCAAAACGTCGAAAAGTTTATAAACTTAAATTTCCTACTCATTGGGATATGACAAATAGATTGTTTTAATCAGTAGCGATCCACCGAATGCTCAGTTTATATGCAATTATCAAGTCAAACCTTGGTAATGAATGACACTTACAAACTCGTTAGATGAATTGTTTTTACTAGAAATTTCACATTCTTACCATTAGACTTCATGTCTATAATACTACATACACATTTCTAAAAGTAAGAATGAACTGAATATAAAACAAACGTTACAAGTTACATCGTAAAGTAAATTGTTTCTATTATTAAACTATTAAGTTTTAATAATTTAATATCAAATTTAACTTACAGGATATACACCTGTTAAACTGTATGCGTGACCAGCTATAAGTCCATTATCCATTTTTTGTTCCATAACTGACGACTAGAAAGACAAAAGATTGGGATCATTCGTGACTGATTTAATAATAATAATAATAACCTTATTGAATAGTATAAATTTCGTTGCAGTAAAGACTTTCTAATTTCAATTATGCAATATTACAACAAATCTATTTTTAACATCTCCATAAATTGTAATTATTTTAAACATATTTCATAAATGTTTCCAAAATTTAGTATCTACCACCTATTCCATTATCAGAGTTTTCTGCCAGTTCTCAACTGACCATATATAAAGTGACTGAATTCAAATACATTCGCCTCTCCTCTTATCAAAACATGAATGAAAAGGAAAGTGTGCCAAAATGTGAAGTACTTCTATTTGAGTTATGCAATATTTATCATTAGAATAAGTTGCGATTTTTTAATCGTGTGTAAATATACACAATCGGTATTCGTAATTACTCCGTTTAAACAAATCTAAAACAGGAAAGTTAATCGTAATATTTTCACAACTGAAAAATGGGTAACATTAATGCTTAATCAATATTGTATTCAAATCAAGATCACAATTCTTTCATTAATAAAATCGATATTTATGACATAAATCATTCATGTTTCTAGAAAAATGAGTTTAATCATCATGTTGTTATGCTAACGTACTATATTGGGTTACAAAGAACTATTTTATTGAACAGATGATGAGTGTACATTAAAAGATACTGAACTTCAAAAGAAAATGCAGAACCCATTTAGTATCTTTGTGATCCTGATGGATTGTACATTACATAATAATCTCAGTTTAACATGAATTTGAAAGACTTATTTGTTATTTCAATTCTGAAATCTATTTTAAACTAAAAATATTTAATACGTTTAAAATGTTTCGGCATTGACTATAGTCACACGATTATGTAAGTCTAGATGTTGAAAAATCTACGTGAATATGAGCATTTGCCAGTTAAAACAAAATAGTATCGATAATGAATGCTTACGTTCGAGGCTTACAATGTACTCAGAAGGTAATAAAAATATTTTCGTCATATTGAAGTGATTTAAAGCACTTCTCTATCTAAGCTAAATTTACCATGTAACACTGTATTTTGACCGATATTTGTTTAATAAGAACCAAGTTATTCATATCAAGATATATCTATTGATATTACGATAAACAACTGAGTTCATGTACACGGATTTACGTTTTGCATATGGTACAGTGTTCGAATATTTCACTTCTTCCTAAATACTTTACTGTTGGAAAAATTCATATCATAAAATTTAAGACAGTCCTTTACATAAATATAATTTTATATAACAGTGATATTCAGTGTTTTTATTTACATTAGGCAGTAGTTGTGTTGAAAGTTTAGGGAAACAGTTGAATACCATTCTATTAAATATTCACTAATGAATGATGAACTATATTTAATGAAATCTAGTTCTGATTACCAGCTTATTGTCTTTGTTCGTTATGTGCAACGGTAAACTTATAACTTGATGGAAAATTTGTTAATGTGAATTATTTATAAAATTATTTTTTTTTAAGAATTTATAACAACATTTCATATCAAACACTAACTTACATCAATACTACAACCCATAAGGCAACAACGTTGAGCATAAATTTTAAGCTGTTCTACAAGATCTTGTGGACGTTCTTTTTGGTTCAGTTCAATAGATAAACAAATTCCACCAGTTAAATCTTCCATAGCTTCACTTTGTGTTCCTCCAGACAGATGAGCATAACAACCGTTCAATCTATCCGTTCAAGAAATCGAATAAAAAATTTTTTAAAAATATTTTGATATTCCGTATTTCTTTATAATAATGATCCTTTTACGTATATTTTAATAATCTAAGTAATAATCTGACATCTTAAGAAAGCAAACATAAGTTACTTTGTTGAGTATACTTCATAAAAAAGTGGAACACTGAGGTTGTCTGAAATTAAACACTTAAACTTTGACAAAAAAGAGAAATATTATTATTTATTTGTTAAAATTCATCTAATATGTATCAAATGTCCAGGTAGGCAAATGTAGAAAATTTACTTTACAATTCAGTATGGCCATTGATTTTGCTGATAGGTATATGTGTAGTGGTGACTTAATGGTTAAGTCGTTCAGCTAACATATTGTTGTTAGTATACGTGAGTTATTTGAAGATATTTACTGTTTGGTTGATGTCATAATACTGTTTTGATGATAGGGCGTTTGTCATTATTAAGTCTGATACCAAAGATAAGTATTGTGTTATAGAACGATGATAGTCACGCCATTAGAAGTGTTTATATTGAGTTTGGGCAGTCATATTGCTGTGTTATAGTGGATATGACGTTGAACTGACCGTTAGAAATTCTCTGGGTTATCAGTTGTATTAAGGCTTAACAGAACAAATACTCCATCATTTACCAGCTAAAATCATCTGGAGTATTTCGCAATTGAGGATCATGATAATAAGTAGGTCATAAACTTGAATTATAAGTGTTTCGTGTGTGCATTAAACCATTTGAGATGGAATTTTTTGTCTCCTATGACTGATATTTTTGGTAAATTTCATGATTCAGTACAATAATTTACGATTACTAGAAAAGGCGGACATTCAACTTAATTCAAAGGGGGAGGAAATCATAGTCTTTTAACAAAATAATCCTACTAAATAGAAACAACACTTTACGTGAACAACTTTTTCCAATTTCAGTAAACACTGTGTCCGTTCTTGTTATCATTGAATTTACTAAGAAAGATAAAATAGCACGGGCGTTTACCGCAAGAGTCAAATGATGCTCGAAGTATAGTGTTAATTTAACCTGATCGATTTAGTGGCAAATAACTTAGGCTTCGACCATAAGGAGTACTGAAGGCAGTTAGTAATATGTGTGTTGAATCTTTGATGCCATCTTGAATGCGATTGTGGACAGAAATTTGATATCTTGCAAACTGTTGCCAAGTGTTATTGTATCAGATAGTAACCATCCACTATACTTGCATTTTTCTCTCTACATATCTACCGATCGAACGGCATGCCGATACATTAGAATCCATGAAAGCAAGCAAGAATATAAAAGTTCTACCATACCGTACATATACGACGAGCAGGTTTTGAGAGCTGACCTGGTCAAAAGCTTGTGTTTGAACATGTTGTTAATTAACAGTTGTACAGATTCTTAATTTCACTAATTCCACGTATATGTGTGTGCAATTGTTGATTTTTTTGTGTGGTATAAACTGAATAAGAGACATCAGATGTAATATTGTACACCGGGGATTCCACGCTGAAATAAAATGTAATTTTAGACAGATATATTGATAATAATAGTAAGAGAATTAAGAAAAGTTTTTCTGAGGAGTTTCAGGGCCTCCTTTTGATACTTTAAGACGTTGCAATGACGAAATAAAGTACGCTCTGATATATTTAGTTTAAATAATTCGGTAAGCAGATGAGAAAATAAATGATTTAATTCCTTTGGTTTTAAAGACTAGATGGTTCAACATAAACCACTATTCGTTGGTTGGAATAGACAACAGTGAGACATTTATTTAGAGTATAATTAACTGAATTCATTTTTTAATAAAGATGTAAATTTTTGTTTAAAAAAAGTTTCAGATTTACTTTGCATAAGCTTTTTCTAACAGGGCTGACCAAAATTCCGTAGGATCACTAGAATGCATAAAAGTGAGTGTATTACGTCCTTGACGAACTGGAAGACGATCATCTATAAGTACTTCTACCCAATGACCAAAATTCCAAAATCGAAAACGTATAACACCAACATAATCTGGTCCTTTTAATTCTTGATCTTTAGGCACCACTTGATCAAATAGCTGTGGGTATCCTGATATGGAAGCCACTACTGCAAGTAACCAGCAATCACCTAGACGATTTACAAAGTAAAGAGATGTTCACAGTCAGTTTATTAGCCAATTTGGTTTTAACATTCTTTGAGTCAGTAATTTTTTAAAAGATTGTATTAAACAATTTGCAGCAGACGTGCTAAAAACCATACAGTCACATTTAGATTAAAAAAGATAAGAGATGGTGGAGACGATTTGTAGCTCGGGTGGATGAATTTGATGGGGTTTTGTTCTCTGAGCTGGATGGTTTGGTCGTGGAGCTTTCCTCGTTCTTCTGAACGACATCATCAGCACAAACTTCAGATAGAAGTGAAGTGTTCAAATTTCTCCATATGCGTTTCACAGCTTGTTCTGTACACCTCGATGTTGATTGGTTCTTATTGACCTTAAATTTGTCATTGTTTACTTCTTTGTTTTGGTTGTGCCTTCCATCAGTTTGATTTTCGTTCCTATATTTGTGCATTGGTTGATAAATTGGATCGATTTCAATGTGCTTGTTGATTGCTGATTGACCTGAGTGCAAGGCTTCAAAACATTCTCTGATGTTTTTGGAATTTCCTCTGTCCAAGATTTCCACATTTTTCCAATCGAATGAGTGTCCACCGTTGTCCACGTGTATCATGGCGTTTGACTGCTAACTGATGTTCATGTAGGCGAAGGTGAAGGGGCGTCCGCTTTGTCCGATGTAGTGTTTTTCGCAGTTGGCACAATTTATTATGTAGATGATGTTTGATTTGTCTTCCTTTGTTATTTCATCCTTTGGTTTGCATAGGATTGATTGTAGTGATTTTGTCGGTTTGTGTGCCACACCTATCCCGAAGGTTTTCAGCAGTCTCGTTGCGGTTTCTGATATGCCTTTTATGTATGGTAGGGCGATCGTTTTGTTGATTTCTGTACTTGACTTAGGTTCTGATGCTGCGTGCGGTTGGTATTTCTTGGTGAAGTTGGTTGGGTAGCCGTTCTTTTGAAATACGTCATTCAGGTATTTCTCTTCATTTTTTCGTGCTGCCAGTGTGCTGCAGTGTTTCCTCGACTTTCTGAACAAAGTGTGTACGCAGTTGATTTTGTGAGCTCTTGGGTTGTTGCTATTGTAGATGAGAATTTGATCTGTATGGGTCGGTTTCCTATACACTTGAGTTTCTAGTTCTCCTGTGTCAGTTCTAGTGATTAGTATATCCAAGAATGATAGTTTGTTGTTTGACTCCTGTTCCATTGTGACTTGATGTCATCGAAGACGTTGTTGATCATCTTGTAAGGGTTTAGCAGTTCATTCTTCTTGACTATGACAAATGTGTCGTTTACATAGTGAATCCAAATTTTTGGCTTAGTCACTGGTAATATCGCGGCTTCTAGTCTTTGCATCACTGCTTCTGCGATCAGTCCTGATATTGGTGATACCATTGGGACACCACGAGCAAACCATCCAGCTCAGAGAACAAAACTCAATTAAAAGGTATGTCTTTTTGACTTATCCAAGTAAGATTCTTTGATTACTTGATGAACGATACCACCTATCCATATTAATAGTATAACTTCTTTCCTACAGCAAGTATTTTTTAAAATACTTTTTATTTCTAAATTGAAACACTTAGCACAAATTTGCATTACATTTCCCATACTGTATGAAAATCGTTGATGTATATATATTTTAAAGTTTATATTCCATTCCTCGAACATGTCTGTTACTTAACTCACAATTTTTTTTATTTAGTTGAATTTGCAAAGTTCTATATGTAAATTTTCAGATAAAACTGAATATAATAAACTCATTGACCAAGTACAGATTAATAGATGAGACTTTGAGTCATAATGTTGAGAAAAACTTATTTTCAACAACATAAAATATTACTATTTCATGGAATAATGATACTTACATATGTATATTTAGGTAACCGAGTATGAGAAAAATCTGTTTACTATTTCTAATGTTATTGTTCTTGGTAATTATATGCCGATTACTACTTATTTTATGAATGCAAACACTTCTATTAAAACAGTCTACGGTAGAATTTTTCCATCATTTTATGTTTAAAGTATTGCTAAATTTATGCGTAATAATTAAGGTCATCAAGATATATGCTATGCTAAACACTTCATCTGTTACCTTATATCGATAAATTAACTATCCAATATCATTATTTCATGTAGTTTCCTGTACTTCAAGTGAGATAGTGTCGAGATGTGGCGCTCAATTTCGTGGATTAGTTGAAGTTAGACATTAACACTCGCGCGCGAAACCAATAGGTCCTGGGTTCGAATCTCGCAGAGGGCGAGGTCGTGGATGCGCACTGTTGAGGAGTCCCACAATAGGACGAGACGGCCGTCCAGTGCTTCCAGGTTTTCCATGGTGGTCTAGCTTCAACTGAATCCTGATCTTAACCATTGAAATTAATACAATCTCCACAAAACCCATCTGATATTAATGTTTTATTGTTTTGTTTTTTTCTATTGTTTATTTGAAGAGTAATTAGTAATGTGACAAACGGATGAACTTCTGTAGTTTGGACTAAATTCATAACCTAATAGTTTTGATAAAGAATATTTAACCATAGTGAAACTTTTTTTGAGGTTTAATAAGTTGTATCAATCTCTTGATTTATGCATATATTTAATCTACTCCTGTATATCTGTCAACTAATAGAGAAAGAACAAATGTCGTAGCAGAACAACATGAGTTCTTTTTCTTTTTTAACTATTTAGTGGGTTATCCCCATCTGCTTACAACCTATAACCACAGTATTGATCATTAAAACGAATGGATATACATACTTTATATCAGAAAGGTTTAGAATAAACTAAGTTGAAATGTGGTGATAGAATAATATTAAGTGATCATAATATGGAAGAATAGAAATTTTTCAATATTTTAGATCATAAAAATGAAAAATGTTTTTCTTCTAGAAATAGAAAATAGACTATGTAATATAGATTAATAGTTGAATTCATGAGTCAATTAAAGTTAGATCATCATGAATGCACTGGATGACCGTTTCGTCCTAGTATGGGACTCTTCAGAAGTGGTCTAGTTTCAATTGACTCGTGAATTCAACTATTAAATTACTAAAATTTTCACAAAACCCCCTTCTTATGACAGTATAGAGTAGTTGAGTGAAACACAGAGATAAGAATTAATATATTAGGATTTTGATTAAATTTTGTCGAAAAATAAAAATAGTCTTATGTAAGTAATCTTACAAAATGTTATTCAGTGTTTACATTATAACTCTAGACGCTTCTGATATTGTAGCAAACCCATTCAACTATTTTATTATCTGTCTACTTGCTTTAATTTAGACAACTAACCCGCTCTGTATAAAATTATGTATCAGACTGATTGAGCGCATTTCTGATTGGTTGCAAACACAGACAATCAATAATAATTTATCCACAAACGATTACCACTCATTAATATAAAAAATATGGATTTTTAATACTCTCTCACTCACACATGCACTCTCACTGTTTTCCCTTTGTGCTTGCTTTCTAAGTGCTTGCAGATTTTTTACTAATCATTACCAATAAACTACCTCTACAACTGGTGCCCGGGCTTTTGAATAATCATGAGTAAATTCATAATACTACTAGGTGATTTAGCCTGCGTAAATACTCAATTAATGGGATACTATTTACTAGAGTCAGATATGGAGGAATTAACCTCTACAATATAAAGTATGTACACTTGTTTCATTTTAATGATTACGTACTTTGAATTCATGTTAATCTGTTACAATATCTGTTCCTTTTTTTAAATTTATAAATGGGAAACGTTTTGTATAATACCTTATCACAGTGATAAATTCCTATGAATTATCTGATAATTCCTTGCTGATTAGAGTGTGGGGTCTGACCAATTAGTTTATTATTAGGATTAAAATGATTAGGGGCAAAGTAAAACTTATTATATTCAAGTACACTATAGAAGAAAGATATTTAAGTTAACATTTATCATAGTAATTCCACCTATATGGAAAAGACGTTACTAACTAGTGACTTTTGTAATCGGTTGACAGTGTTATGATTACATTTTATAATAATATTTTCTCTTATCTTAAATCCACTAGATAATAAAATACTGGAAATAATAAGTCAGATAACTGATGCTTTGTATTTAGCTGCAATTGTCATTGTTTATATATATCAAGTAGGAAACTGTTTAAAAATGGTGGTACTAAGGATAAATCTCATTTTAGTCAGTAATTTGCCAACAAGAATCAACTAAAAAATTCCGAGCTTCTCTAAGAATGACTCATTATCTAGTAGTAAATGTTTTTAAATTCAGTTATTTTTTTCATTCTGAGTGACGAATTCCCTTATTGATATATGTCTCATTTCCAACAATATTGAACTTCATTGGCAAATTCAAAAAGATTATTATTGCATTAAATCGTGAACTGATTGATTCTAAAAACATGTATCAGCTTTGTGGTTAAGACGATTCTTGAACGTTTTAAGCTTGATCAAGGGAGAGATCTTCAGTGTTCAGTGATGATCAATTCTACAAGAAGGTGAAACAATAATCTAGTGGTTTGTGGTCTCTATCAATTCCCTAAATAATGTCAACCCATGATGGGCAATAGCTTTAAATGCATTTGTAATACATTTCTATTATAACTAGGAATAAAATGTCCTTCTATAATTTCGAGAAGAAACACTTATTATTGTTAATTTTACGATTCAACTATTAATTCAAAATGCTGAATATCTATGTCTAGTTATATGAATTGTATGTTTTGTAGGTAACTATAATCGAATCTCAAATTGTGAAAGATAGTTATCTTACCAAGTGCCCCTTGTTCAATATCAAAACGACTTGCTCCACCAGCAAAAAATTTAGCATTTGGATTAATTTCCTTTAAAAAGGTGAAAACAGAAAGGGATTCAGCAAAATTCTCTTGTATCACGAAATATTGATAATTTAAAAAAAGGTATAGTAGACAATTTAGTGTCTTAAGTTCATAATTTTATGCGAAGATATCGTATCGGTATAATATAAAATGTCAAACTGATCCATCAAAAAAGTTTAAACTCTAGTTTGAACCTAATTAAAATGAACAGTCTCAAATATAAACATGAACCTATTAAAGTGCATACAAAATACTTAGTAGTAAATCCTAAAATCTACCTACTTGAACATACTTGAACACACAATGCACCGCTTTATTCAAACCAGTAAACGTTTGAGAAAAACAGTCGGATTATTTCGTAGATTGTTTATGTTGAAACCTTTAGCAGAAAACTAGTTACTTTCCGGTCATCGATTTTGAAATTTAATTCAGATCAGATTCACTGATACTGAGAAAAAAACTACTCTTGGTTTACCAATGTGAACCGTCTTATGTAGTAGGATTATCATAAGTTACTTATATTACTTCCGCTGATAAGCTTAAAAATGCCATGTGTTCAACTACCCCTACGAATTCCAGACGAATACATCAGATCTATTCACTTATATGTGATATTGAGAAAATGTATTGCGAGATATGTAAAAATTTGGTATGATTCAATATGATATCTCTTAAATGTAATGCAATTTGCAAACTAATAAGCTAGATGGTTGAAAGAAATAGAATGAAAACTTTAAACCTAATTTTCATGATAATCAGAATACAATATTAAGAAATATCTAGGATTTAGGTCCATATTACAATCCGAAATGTTATAACCAGACTATAAATTATCCTAACGAAAAACATTCTTCTTTGACGGAATATTTTAGGCATCTCAATAGACACTACATTTATCAAGCACTTTTCCAATGATGTCCATGGAATATTTAAAATGTATGTTTATTGATATTTATTGAAATGTATGAATATCATTGATCAATTTTGTTTTAATCTAGAAATGGTTCTTGATAAAAAAAAATATTTCGACTTCAAGTTCATTTTTGTTATCTACTTGAAATATCGCTTGTTTTATTCCCTTATTTTATTTGTAGGTATGATATACTTGAATGCCATTACGAGTTCACCTTATTCGGTAAACAGAACGAAAGTCAAATATACAGTGACACGATAAGCTATTCTAATTCGTTGTTCCTGGTTCTGCTAACTAGATCAAAAAGTCTTGATGAGGCTTAGAGAATTTATTCTACAAGCACCCAGAAAATACGAGGACGCTAAGCTCACAAATCAAGCTTATTTATACAATGATAGAAACGCCCTTAGGAGAGCCACAAAATAGTGTACTAAAAAAATCTGTCAACTAATGACAGTCAAAAATTTCCGAGTGGGAAATGTAAGCTGTGAGTCAACTAAACGTCTCTTGGCGCAAAAACATAAAATTCAAATTTTCAGAACAAAATTACAAAATTAGGAACATTTCCAAGTGAATTCTAGGGATCTAACATCCTCAACAAATTAGTATGTGCTGATTTCTTCTTTACTCAGTTAAGTAAAAATGTGTTAAATTGTGCATGATTCAAGATCATTATTAAGCGTAACCTTAACTAATACTTTTTATAATTTATTCAGTAAGAATGAAGTAATATGACATTTTGATGTATGTTACGGTTTCGATATGATGAAATATCTGCTTAATTAAAATTCTAATTGGTAACAGATAATTATAACAATGAAGTACGAAAACAGTTCTAAACAAAAGTATTTGTTTGACAGCTGATATTCAAAAGTAATTTGATCAAAGGGATATTAGTTTGAAAAAGTGCTCTAGAAAAGTTATAAGTATAAGGTATAAGTTTGTGCCGATGATACTGTTCAGAAGAATGATGAAAGCTCCACGACCAAACCATCCAGCTCTAAGAACAAAACTCCATTAAAATCATCCAGCCACTTGAACTACAAAACTTCTCCACCATCTGAACTTATATATAACATCTCAAAACAATCTTTTAACTATTAAACTGATTAATAGAAAATATTTAAACTGAAAACAATCATTTTAAGATGAAACGTTATATGTAAAATAAAACTAATGAACTCTCGGGGAAAAGATTTAATCTCTTTCTTGAAAATATTCTTCTCATTGGATTGGTTTTGATCTTTAACTATTTACTTAGTAATCATAAATTCTTTCTGTGACGGGTGTAGATGGTAGGGTTATTAAAATGTTTGCGTCAATTATTTCTTGATTGTAATAATATTATGAACTATTCTATGGTGCAGTACATTATACCAACTTTATTGTGTGAATGTCCAAGCAATGGCGGATTTCATAGGACTGTAATTTCAAAGTTATTATAAGTAACCAAAAAATGAACATTATACTTACATGTGGTCGTTTCCATTCAATTTTCTCTCTGAAATTTGGTATATTCCCAATTGCATAATCGTTAGCTGGAAAGTCAGGATCTTCCCAAAGTGTTCGTTCAGTTTTTAAACGTTTAACTAATGTTTCGTATTGTTTACTTGCAACACTCATCATTAGTTTATACTAAATTCAAATAATAAATACGATGTATAAATGTTATTTTTTTAAAAGACGAAGGATATTCATTCAAAGTGTTTTAAGTAGATCAAATAGTATGTAGTTAGTCGGTATTTTATCAGCACTATCTTCGCCTTAAGCTTGTGGTGGTATACGACGATTTTCTAACATTATTTCATGGAATGCTATTTCTATCTTGTACAAAAATAATGGTCAAAGTATTTCATTGAATAATTATATGTTATAGTACTCATATTGTCAAGGAGACTTCAGTTGCCCCAGTATTTTGTTACTAAATAATAGTTAGTATGCATAACAATAACTGTGATAACATATTTCCAATTCATATATCTTTGATAATAACCTTTGTTGTTTGTTTTTTTGGTTAATTGTTTTCACTTTTGGCATAGTACTGGTACTTTGGTATGATTAACACAGTTTAAAGATAACTTTCTCCAAGAACTGATTTCATTTGAAGGATAACTGGGAAATAGGGATCACTGAATATATTGAAATTTCTAAACAAAATTTAGGGATATTCATTCCCCATTTTTAAACTATCGCTATCGTATATTAAAAATAAGTGAATTCGTTTAGTTACATTTGACCAGAGTTCTCTGTTGATTAAATTTCCATTTAACTTTTGGTCATTGTCTCAGTCCATAGAAAAATAATTTTACGAATAATTACTGTTACCAATTGAATTGGTGATTTATAATAGCTGTTTCTTGTTATTTAATCTGAATCTAAGTAGTTTATTTTCTATTGTAAATTTAGATTACTCAGTTTTTACTTTTGTGATGAATAGTGATTAAACAAAGATGCACTTTTATTCCTAATTTATGCTACTTAAAGTTTTGGCATTTCAAATGATCTTGAGGTACAGGACTCTTTGTTATTAGTGGAGTTTTGTTCTCTGAGCTGGATGGTTTGGTCGTGGAGCTTTCATCGTTCTTCTGAACGACATCATCAGCACAAACTTCAGATAGACTTCTATCTGAAGTTTGTGCTGATGATGTCGTTCAGAAGAACGATGAAAGCTCCACGACCAAACCATCCAGCTCTAAGAACAAAACTCCACCAAAATCATCCACCTGAGCTACAAATCTTCTCCACTCTTTGTTATAAATACTGAAGGTCATTCTAATCTCAATCGGAATACTCAATCCCTGACAACATATAATGTAGACAAACCTTTAGATAAGTTTAAAGTTTTTTTACACAGAAAAGTCGAATAGTTGACATCAGTACTAGAATACATACCTTGGCATATCCTTTTGGAGTAAGTGTTTTAGGAAGATATGGATTAAATTCCATACGCTTTGGACCTTTGACAGGTTTTAATACATTCACTAAAATGTTAACAAAAAAGAGACGTTTTGTATGCTGAACAACACTATTTGGTTCATATTTAAATGAGTAGATAAATGATATAAAGGGCGGCCTGCTTGAGCATCTGGGCTACCTATTCATGCCATCTAGATATTTCAACAAGTTATCTATTTTTGTTTGTATTAATCTATCATTATGTTTATTAATCGCATAACCTACTCTGCTGCGTTTCTGAAAAGTGTACAACCTTTCGTTGTCAAAGTTACAAGAAACTCAATAAGAGACAATGTGGTTGTTGGCAATATACAACGAAGAGAATGTACATTATTCAGATGTTCATTTACTGAACTGCTAACATCTAACTGGCGATCACTCAATATTTATCGCCAGGACCGACCAAGAAGAAAGAAACGGAAACTTGTTGAAATACTTTACGCCGAGAATTCTATATTGTACCAAAAATATACTATTGAATAAAGCTGATAATAATAATAATAATAATAATAATGTATAAGAATTACTTTAATAATGTTAAAAGATCGTCTACATATGAATGATTTAGCATCAGATACCGTTCAGACATCAAGTAGATGTCGAATGTTTAACTTTTTGAGTTTTCTTTAAGCCTTTCAAAATGAATAATTTTAAAGCCACTCATTCAAGGAAATCTAAATTCTAAATTTAATCCTATTTTAATAATTGAATTCGCTGGTCAGCGGCCTATACTCCATTAGGAGTAACAGGCGTAAGTAAGTAAAAATAATTGAATTCATGAGTCGATATAAGCCAGACCATCATTGAAAACCTGGAAGTATTGGACAGACGTTTCGTCCCAGTATGGGATTCAGCAGTATGTATTCACAGTCCCGCACGCGGAACTCGAACCCAGAACCCTAGATCACGTGTGCGAACGTTTAACCTGTAGACCACTGAACCGGCATTTAACGGTGTTGATGTCTAACATTAATCAATCCATGATCTATGAGTATGTTTGTCTATCGATATCACTGATTTGTACGGGGGTAATGATTGGATTGAATTAATCTATTTCATGGGTTGGACTTGCAGCTATGTGATTTCAATTAGTAGTCCTTAATATTTCTGCTGAGCAATTTTATTCTTTCATCGTTGCTTGATACCATTTTAACTTAAACAGTCATCCGGATTTTTTGAGCTTTCTCGATATCGGCTAGATTTTCAGGTCGTCATAGGAACTCAATTCATATCCATAAAGATTGATTTGAGTAGATAAAACTTGTATTTGGATTGACATTTTCTTCGATATTAGTCCATTTATTGAACACAAAATTAAACAAATGCCGAAGTTTGTAAGGGTTTGTATCATTTTGTTATTGACGATCGGAACTGAACTTTGACCAATTTTTATTGATATGTGTAGATCATAAGCAATTTGGGTTAATACAGACTATTTATCATACATTATGGAATATTTAAAAGGTGGCTAGTACTGGGATTTTGGATTAGTACTTCGTCCAATTTAGATCCCGTCAGTTGGATGTATCAGGGTAGCGGTGTTGATTGTCACACTACGATCAAAACCTTATACCTATAGCTTTAAACACTGGTGTGTTTCAGTGTGAACATCAACATGGGGATTTAAGTGCAATGGGATAAATTACTTCAAATAATATGAAAAACCTTTTCTTGATTTCAACGCTATTCATTAACTAAATTCACTAAAATGTACGCATTCAAATTATACTCATTCGTTCAATGTGGTTAAGTTCTATCTATATTTTCTTCAAAGTTAACTCTTTGATACTGAGTCTCTTTTGTTAGTCTGGAATTGATCATATCAAGATACTTGTCTTCCTTATAATTCGTTTAGTGAACTTTAATAGTCGGTTAACTTGATAGTTAATCATAATAATTGTGCCAAAAATTTATTAGAAAAAAGAGAAACCATTGGTCGTTTGTTTTAAAAGTTCTTACAGCCCTAAGTTGTTAGCCAACAAACCATATACACAGTGTAATGCTCAAATGTCAACAAGTCATTAAATTCATGCCAAATGACTTTCGTTTTAAGATTCCAATAAATGAGTCATATTTTTTGGTAGCTTCACGATGTGTGGTAAGGACTTTTCAATGAACAACATGTTTGTTATTTTACGTTTGATGAAGACATTGAACATTAAAGTAATTGTAATCATGACGAACCGTCAATAGCCAAATAAAACTAAATAACTCTTTCGGTTTAACTTGGGTCTTTTAATTATTTGCGATAAAAATCAGGGAACTGAAATTTCGTTTATTGAAAAATATTTTAGAATGATTCTCTTATTCTCTTCTCGGAAAATAATAATAACTAGTGATTTACTTTGAGTTAGGTTTTCTGAATTTTTAGTGAAAGGTGGAAATCTGTCATTTGGACTAGGTTTGAAGTAAGGTAGTTGCCTATTGATTCAAATGAATTATGATCCGTTCCGTAACACAATATGAGAGATACTAAATAATGTGGCCAATCGGATATTGACCCAGGGGACAAATAATGCCGTCCCAATTTAATCTCACTTGGACTGCTGGGTAAACTTTACTGAAGGGATTCAAACTAGGATGGAGTAGCTACCCATAGTCATAGTCATACACCAACATGTTAAGTATATGCACAAACTTGTATTCAGTTTTGTTATCTTCAAAACGAAGTTATTAAAACAAATCCTAGAGTAGGACGAAACGCACGTCTTACTAGATTCCACTGCTCGCCACTATCCATCTTTGCTTAAAAAGCTTGTGACTTAAGGCTATATCGAGGCAATCCGTATAGGATGCACATATGCTAAAACGAGACTGATCAATTGAAGTTCTAAATAACAATGGGAAGATGCAAGTAAAACAACACCAAGTGAATTTAAACTTCACCCTATTGCACAAGCAGGCGGCTATCAGAACTCAGTATTTAAGTGGATAACGCGATGATATTTAAATCGAACGATACTGGGTTCGAGTGAACTTCAACCCTGAGATGCAGGTACATCCAGTTGACGAGTCTCAAATAAGACGAAACGCGCGTCTTACTGGATTCCATTGCTAGCCACTATCCATATTTGCTTAATAAGTCTCAGAATAGTTTTTTATATATGTGACTTTAATAAAACATTTACTTATCATTTTTACCTCTATTATACTATTCACATGTTATGTAATAATACTCGTGAATTATTCAAAGCTTAAATTAATTACTACATGATCAAATAATAACTATACACTGATATCCAGCTGATTAGACATTAATTAGTTTTTACTAACAAATGAATATTCTAATAAAATTTATTCGTTTAATAAGATTTAATCAAAGAATTGTTCTGTGAAACCAATTGTCTAAGTGATAGTTATTGGGGAAAACTGTGCAGAAAAAAAAAGAAAGAAAAATAAGAGGAAACTAAATGGACTTGGTCAAAATGACTTAGTCTCAGGTTCGTTAGTTTGTTTGTTTTTCTCTTCTTTGCACACACATACTAGTGTACTATCGGTTTATGGGTGTATGGAGTTTTTATGGGTTATGTTAACTAATGACTGATATCATATAGAGAACATTTATTTCATCGGGATGAATATGGTTTCGCCTTAACGCCTTCCAGAAACGTTTTTAATATATTTTCTAATTCATTATTATCGTCACAAACGACAAATGTGTCTTCCATGTATCTTATGTATAGATCAAATTGAGAAATCATCGAACTGAGTTGGTCGTTTACTAGTTTTGTCATGAAGCAGTCTGCTAAAATTGGACACAATGCAGACCCTATTGCCAGCCCATCTATTTGTTTATATATTTCGTTTTTGAAGCTGAACTGGACATTAAAAGTACAACGTAACAATAATTCTTTCAAGTAGTCAGTTGGTAAACCTAGTTTCTGGAAGGCATCAAGGAGAAACTTAAAGAACTGTTTGAAATTAACTAGATCTAGATAAATTCTTTCTTAACACTACATACAGATGAACAGTTGAGTAGGCGAAGACGAAAATGAAATAATAATATTTTTACCTAACGATTAAGTTACGTAGTTCCTAGGATGATGTTTTATAAATTTGGATTAGAGTTCTTGTGTAGGGGTGTGTGCACAACGTTCTGGAGTATTATTGATTTTCCAAATCATGTCTAGCATCATGGTGGTACATTTCTTTTATGGTTATGATAGAAGGTAAGGTAAACTAAGTATGGATATTCAAAATTCTGTATATTCAAGTAAGAATACAGTACTCTTTTAAACCACTAGTAAAAAAAATTGCAATTGACTAAATTATACCTAAGAACTAATTCTGGATTGTATTGTGAATGTATCTACTTTAATAAATTCTTTTGGTTAACGATCTTTATATTCCTGTACAGCTTCAGGAATTCTGATTCATCAATTCAGACAAAAAGTTCTGTGCATTTAGTTTACTTATCTGAGATCAATAAAACTGAATAAACATTCAACATATAAAAGAAATGGCATATTACAACATATTTCTATTTGAATTTGAATTAGAAGGAAGGAAGTAGGGAGTAAAAACAAAAGAAAACTTGTTCATTCTACCAAGCTTCATTGTTTTACTTTATACTTAGTTGTAAAATGAGATAGAATAAAGTCAAGTGACATTTTAGGATTAGTAATTATTAATTAGTAGTATATCTCATATCAGTATATATAATATCATTCTATAAAAATCTTGTTAGTAATATAACTAGATTGAAATAATATTTTTCTATCTTATTGTAATCATTTCAGACAATCATATCATACTATAATTTGTAGAAGACCTCAAGTTCTATAGTATTTAAGCTTCAAAGTGTATTATTCTAAGTATTCATAAACGTGGATAAAGAAGTTTCTTAGTGCTAATTAGTGTTTTAGTTATTCACCAGTTAACATTGAAAATCATTTTAAATAAATTCTATTTCATTTAAAGGTAATTTGTCAATATCATACGTATGAATACCTGAGCATTTTAAAACTATAAGAACATTATGAATAAAATATATGTGCTCAATTGAAAAAAAATGTTTGAGTACACATTTCTTTTCATTATTTATTCAATGATGTCTCTAGCTTAATAATAAACAATATTATACTATAATATGGATTGAGTTTTTTTAACAATACTTACAGTAATCATCTGGAGTTTCTCGTTTCACTTTGATTACCCTACCAGTACGTGGATCCACTACTTGTTTACCAGGATGGTTAGTTCGTCCAGATACATTTTCATCAGGTGAATAAACCTATTATTAAACATAAAAAACAGATACGAGTGAAATTAATAGCAGCCGTAAAAAAAGTATAATAACTATGAGGATTTGTAATTGCATCATTATTTCTCTCATTCTATCTGACTTATATATATTCGGATCATGAATCTAAAAAAACATTTCACTTCACATATAGGCTAGTTCAAGTTAACTTTGCATTTGAGTTATCTCAACATAACAGTCTTAAATTTACATAATATAACTTTAAACGATGCAATTTACCCTAAACCTGACTAATATTTTTTAGATTACTAATTTCGATATATGTGAGCGGCCTATGTTCCTTCACGAGGAGTAACAGGAGTAATCAGATCATATCAGAATTTCGATATATCATTGTAGAACATGAAGGGAATTTATTGAAAAGAATTTTCTTTGTTCATATATAAGCCTTAACACAATAGCAGGAATAATGAACGTTTTCACTGTTTTGATCATTACCAAGGTTTGATTTGATAATTTCCAATAAATTGAGCATTAGGTAGATTGTTATAAATTAATAAATAATATATTTGTAATACCCCATTGAATAGAAAAATTAGATTTTCTGACGTTTTGTGACTGAGTGTAAGCCACTTCTTCAGAGAATAAATAACCACTAAATCATGAAACCTCAGAAAACCTAATTTCTTTACTCATTAGGTTATTACAAATATATTATTTAAGAATATTGTTTGTCCATTTATAAGAATTAATACAATAACAGGAATAACGAACGTCATCACTGTTTTGATCAATATCCGAAGATGTAGATGATGACGATGTTGAAGAATAATAATGATCATAGTATCTCATTTTAAAACGGTTATTTTTCTTTTTTTTTTAAAAAAAATGTAAAATTAGGCAGTAATATATATACCTAAACAAATTGTAGTTTACACGGGATGGTCTTATGAATCAGAGCATGAATATCTAATGACATGAAAATTTAAAAAAATGAACATTTATCAAACTACTACTAACATAATGGTTATGCTGGTGAGCGACCTATGCTCCTTCACGAGGAGTAACAGGCGTAAGTAAGTAAGTAAGTAAGTAACATAATGATTGATTGTATAAATCCAAAAATCAATGATTATTATTATTTAAACATGGAAATACTTATCAATAGTGAATAATAAAATATCATCACTTACAATTTGTATTCGTCCCATTATTGTTATTTATAATGATAACGAATAAATTGAAATGTTTCAAACTTTGTACACCAACTGTAATCGTACACTAAACTGATTTGAATAATAATAAGTACTAATAATATATAAAATTATTTGAATTCAATACTGACGCACACTTTCTACTACTTTTCTCTCAAATACACTTATATGTGCATACATACACTCATACTTATATACTACTAATAAATATGTTGTATCCATCATAGATATTATAGATCTTTTCACATAAGTCTCTTTTTTTTTATCAAAAACAATGGAAAATTTACTTTTATCGATCTATGTGCATAAATGTAATAAAAAGAAATTGATGTTTGTATGTGTAAAGAATGAAATAAGTATAGATTGGTTCATTATTCATTGAGTATATAGGTACAATAAGAGAGAAAAATGAAACAAAGAAAAAGACTGAAAAGAGAAAAAAAATAGCACTTTAGTGAAATTATCTATGTGGTTATATAGACAGGTATACTTGAATAAACATTTGTTCTGATCTTAAAAGTTTATAAAGTGTGTGTAAATGTACTGTAGATAAATGAATGATTCATTTCTATGAGTAGATATTTTACTGTTATACTTGTATATATTCTATAATCATTGATTAAATCTCTAAGATATCTAATAATGTTCCAAAGATTCACTATTTATTTCAAGTTTTTAAAAAAATATCCTAGTTACTATGAGATGCCATGAAGTTTATGATTGATGATAATAAAGAAATACATTGAACGTGTATTTTTAAATATGAACTGATAGTCAATTAATAAATAGTGATAGGGAATAGTACGTTGTTTAGACATAATTATTTACATAATTCTCTTGGTTATAATCAGAACTAACTCATTACATTGTGGATTATCTTTATATTATCCTGATTTTTGATGTCAAGTAGATGGATCGATATAGTTGTCTCTAAGAAATTAGTAATACGTGACTGAATCCTAGAAATGACTTACTTTATTGTATACGAAGTCATACATGAATACTGTAAATCAAATAGAATGATTTAATACGTAATTCGATAATCAGCTGCTAAATTTATTTAACCATTTGATGAATTCAATCAATGTTTAAATGGTTCATTATTTATTTCTATTAAAGTTTTCATGTTTTGAAATAATCTACATGATATTGAGATGATATTCCTGATGTCTGTCAACCGTTGTAGTAGCTGGTGCTATATCAAGCCCACATAAGTTATTCGATCTTCAGGAAAGATCAATCTATTCATTCTTCTCAAGCCACATTTTTACTCTGTCACTTATTCACTTATCAATCCTGACTGTTTTTATATGACGTATGTGTGTTAATTACTCATCCTGTTCATTATTTGTCTGTAACGTTTTTTTTCTGACTATATTGATTTACGTTTGATAAAAACGAGTTGGTTCACATACCGTCTTCCCCGCGCATCATTCCGTTTTGCTTCTCTCCTCTTCTCTTCCTTTACTTCGTTTACTCGATTATCTGTCCAGATCAACGATAGCATGAAATACACACATTCAAACTTTATTCTCGTATTTGACTTATTTGATTCCGTTATTCGCCAACGCGAGTTAAGTCAATAATTATATACGAGAATAATCATCGCCCATTCTAGCTGGAGTCAGATCTCGAGCCTCTAAACTGTAATGAAAAGCTGCCTGTAGACAGTTTTCAGAGTAATGAAAAGTTTATACTAAGAATATATTACTCTTAAATCATTTGTTAAAGCGATGAACAGTAATACAAACTAAGCAATTTTGAATACATACATGAGATCCAATATTCATCTATCAAATTTTGATATCGGTCCTAATTGTTTTTCCTTCTCCAATAAACATCTGGCTCTTGAGTTGAACATCTGTTTGGTTGTTGCATGAACAAGTAAGACTAGTCAATCTTTACTAGAATTCTAAATTGTTAGTAGAAAGATCATTTACTGAACCAAGTTCTTTTTAATCACAAAATCTAAATATTTCAAGTTGAATCATCCTTAGCCATCATAAATAGGGGTAAAGTAACTGTAATTAGCATTTTGCTTCCTATTAGTGATTTGTCATTCAAACACACGAAAAATCTAGTTAGCAATCACCTCACTTTATTATTTCTTATTGAATTTATATAACCTTATACGCTATATAGTCATCTATCAACTAACTGATCTGATTTGTAATGACATCACTGTTCCCTTCTCACCTCATGTTGCTTATATTTACCCTGATTATTAATCTACACAACATTATTTATCGTATAAAGTCATTCAAGTTGACATTTCATTTTCAACATCTCAACACTAACAAATTGGTTTTATATTAAAGACAATACTAATTTTCCATGGTTTGATTTTAGATCACGTTTTAGTTGTTTAAAAATCCCCGTCATATTAAAAGACTAATATTTGAACGAAGAATATTCTTTTCGATAAATTCTCTTCAGGTTCTACAATTATATATCCAATTATTAATCCGAAAAATGGCCAAGTTAAGGGTAAAGTACATCGTTTAGAGCATGTGAATTTGGGATTGTGATAAACAAAATACAATAAAATTGTTAATGTTAATATGACTAATATAAAATGTTAACTTGAATCTGTGTATATGTTAAATGAAATTTTAAGATCCATGATCAGAATAAATATGGGTCAAATAGGGTGAGAGAGAAATAATAGTGCAATTACAATTCGATCAAATAAGTAAGACGTAATACAGAGGGATGAATGCAAAGTGAATGAATCATGTATAGGGAGATTAATGATGTTTAACCAATAATAATAATAATAATAATAATAATAATAATAATAATAATAATAATAATAATAATAATAATAATAATAATAATAATAATAATACAAAGATTTATGAATAAAGATAACAGGGACAATTACAATTGACTAAGAAAGGTCATAGTCAAATTGGGTCATTCAATAGTTCAGATTACGATAGATTAATTGGCCTTGATGTTGGCCAGGGGAGGAGGAGTGGCTGAACATATTTCTTCTGTACGCATAGCTCCGGTTTCTTCATTCGGATGGCTACTGCTTCAGCCGTTTGAAGGACTTTCAGTCTGACCAGTTTTGGCAAAAAATTACTTACCTTATAAATAATTGAAAAAGATTGGTTTATACTAGCACTATGACCGGTTTGTACTAAATGGGCCAATATTGAGCTGTTCACCTTCTTCATCAAACCTTTGTTCAACCACGCTGGAAGGTGTTCACGAGCACGAAAATGTAAATTTCTAGAACTTCGACCAATATAACTCGCTCCACAGGAGCAGTTGAACTGATAAATACAAAATGATGTGGTCATTCTAGGTAATTCATCTTTAGCTTCGGTGTAACCATTGGGCGCGTAGAAAATACTAATCGCAGTTCTCCGGCGTTAAACGACTTTTGTATTGTCCTACGTAGTCTCTGAGTTAGTATTTCGCTAGCCGCATCCCCTCTGAATTGTAGACGCATGAACAAGGATTTCTTCTTCACTGTTTGTATTTCGCCTACCTTCGCCTTCGTGACCATATATTTAATTATAAACTTTCTAGGGTAGCCGTTCTCCCTGAGAGTATTGCAAGGTGGTAAGCTCTTGTTCAACTATATCAGCAGAACATATAGTGCGAATACGGTAGCTAAGGTTTTTGATCAAATTTCGTTTGTACTGTAGAGGTACAAAGCTCAGGAAATTCGTATACTGCCCAGTCCAAGTACTTTTTCTGTTTATATTCCTTTTACGTTTTAGTTTTTTAGTTGACCATTTTTTAGTTTATTAATTTACATATGTTACTGTTGAACTTGAAAAGAGTTTATCGATATGTGAAGGGGACTTTGTGACAACTTTACATTCTGAAAAGCAAGAAGCATTGAACAGACATTTCGGAATCGAACCTGAAAATTTCAGTCTTGTTCATGAAAGCCTAACCGCTTTAACACTGAGCTATCCAATACATTTTGATTTCCCGACGAAGTCTAGTTAAGACCAGTTCATAATATAAAAACTTTGAACATTCTACAATCTCCACAAAATCCAACATTGATAATTTCATACACATATATATATAGTGAACACTCAAGTTTTTCTCCTTTTGCTTATTACAATCAGTTTTATTCAATAGAACATTACTACTGATCCTTAACAACAAAAAATCGTAACTTGACCTAGTGTAACTAGATAAAGAAATATAAAATTCAAAATCCGCCAAAAAAATTTAATAACGCAACCTTACTCATCAACTAATGATCATTATTATGAAAATCAGCATAAATTTTGATCGACCATTACATTCCATCATAGTAATAAAGGTAACTCAGTTTGTACTTTAATTTATTGATTAGAATTCTTTTATTTAAAAAATAGTTGTAAAACCTTAAGACTGTAATAATATAAAGTTGTCATTACAACATAAAATATGATATCATCTTTGTAAAATATATTTTACATAAATAATGGTTATGATGCATACTTTACTGAATATATATATATATATCACCCCATTGTGTAAATGAATATTCAGCGGTATAATTTAGTTATATTGTATGGTAGTTTGTATGTCTATTCTTATTACAAGTTATTTATTGATGGTTAACATTGACAGGATTTTAATTATTTAGTTAACTATTAAAGATAGATAAAAATAATATATTTGTAATATCCCAATGAGTAGAAAATTGGATTTTCTGACGTTTCGTGGCTTAGTGTAAGTCACTTCTTCAGAGAATAAATAACCAATTTGGTTATTTATTCTCTGAAGAAGTGACTTACACTAAGCCACGAAACGTCAGAAAATCCAATTTTCTACTCATTGGGATATTACAAATATATTATTTTTATTTATAACAATCAACCCAATGCTCAATTTATTCGAAATTATCAAATCAAACCTTGGTAATGACACCTATATTAAAGATAGAATTACTTACTTAATTATACCAGTTACATCTTGTGAATAAGAATAGACCATTCACTAGCATTCTTTATCCAACATTATCCTGAAAAAACCTTTCAAGTTCTTCACAGTTCTTACTCATTTTTTGATGTCTACTTTTAATTCCTAAAGCAGTGTGTTCTTTTGCCTTCCTCTTTTCTGCTTCCCTTCAGGATTCAAAGTTAGAACATGCCTCATGATGTAGTTCGATGATTTCTTCAATACTTGATCTATCCAATTCCAGTATCTTTTCCTAATTTCCTACCAAGCCTGACGTTTGTTTGTTCTCTCCTAAAGCAGACTCTTGCGGATGG